AGATACTCGGCCTCGCCTGGGGTCTGACCCCACCCTTGCCCCCACCCAGGCTCGCGGGAAAAATTTGGCCAGCCCATGTTCCACCACTCTAGCTGCGGATCTCGTGCAGTCCCGGGCGTCTCAAACTCGTCCCAGCCGCGGTGGCGCTCGTTTGGCTGCGACGACACCTAGACAGGAGTCACGACGAGGAGTCAGACATGAGCAAGGAGTACATCACAATAGACAGGGAGAGAACACACACGGAAAGCCAACAGCAGGGAAAGCTGGGTCAACAGACGGGAAAGCGCCAAATACGGGGGGACCTCTGCTGGTGACGGAGGTCCCAGACTCACCACACCCCAGCAAGCAGCGGCAGGACGGGGACGAGGAACAAGAGGATGCTGGCGCTGAGGCTGCTGGACGGGAGGAGTGGGCGGCGGTGGAGCCGGAGCCGCGGGAGGGGCTGAGACAGACGGCGCAACAAGAAGCGCCGACGCAACATGGAGCTGGGGTTGCGCCGGCAAAACCGACGGCGGGTGTGGAGGAGGAGGTGCGGAAGGAAGCACAGGCGCCGGCTGTATCTGAAGTGAGGCAAGCGCAGGCAGGGCCAGCGCCGGCGGTGGCTGAGACAGTGGGGGAGGAACCGAAGGCGGAGGCACCGCCGGCACAAGCGGCGGCGGAGGGACCTGCCGATGAGGAGGAAATGGCCTCGGCCGCCAGGGTTGATGGCGGGGACACCGGGGATGACGGAGCTGCTGACCCCGTGGGCGGAGGTAGTACGGCGTTCGACCGGGTGGCGGGTGATACACAGGGCGTCGGGAGTCCGGGGATTGACGCCGCCCACGCCTCGATCCGCCGCTCGATTCGGCTTCAACCAAGTCCGCGGCGGCTCAGAGCAGGGCTGGCACCTGGCCTCCTTGGCCCCCTTCGGGGGTGGGAGTGCCAGACCTACTAACCACGACCTCACGGCGAGGGGCCTTCGCGGCCTTACCCGTCATCGGCGAGAGCGGAGGAGGAGGAAGCGCCCGAGTTACCAGAAGGGGAAGTTTTACGACCGCCAAGTGCGGTGGGAAGGACGCGGGGCAGAGCGCAAGGCTGAGCAAGAGGGCGCGCGGGGGCACAGTGACGGGGGCAACGAAGAAGGGCAGTCAAACGCGCGGGAACGAGTCCAATCCGGACCTTGGCGGGAAAGACACGGGAGACCAGAGGTGGTGCCAGAAGAAGGAGGCGCTGATGGGCCGGTTGATGCTGACAACGACGAGGAGGAGGCCTATATGGCATCTGAGGAAGGAGAATCGGAAGAGGTTTCACTGGAAGATGAGCCTGGGGTGGGTAACCACCAGGGGAACGCGAGATCTGGGAGAGCACGCAGGGGAGGAAATGGGCGGACAGGAGGGGAGCAACAGCACAGGGATCCGCCACGTGTGGCCCCAATAGGCCCACCTGCTGGCGCGGAAGTGAGGGACATGCGCCCACCGGAAGTGATAGCAAGGGACGAGGAAATCTGGCGACAGGTGGCTGAATGGGAGGTAGACTACCTGCGAAGCAGTGAACAACCCTTCCTGGCAAGGAGAATGCCACCTGGGGTGGTGGATTCATTTGCGGCGTGCCTCGTCATCCCGCTCCAGCGACTGAGGAAAAATCCTACGTGCCCTGGAGCTTGGCGGGTACTCCTCTTTTTGCCACATTTGACACTCCGCGCCGACATTGACCCCCTGACCCCAAAATCACTGGCAGGAGATCGAGAGCAGACTGCAACAGTTCCTACTGGAAAAATGGGAGCTACTGTTCATGCAAGCCAAAACCGTACCAGAAGACCCCAAACCGGCCAGACACCAGCCAGACCCCGAGGAACTTCGGGCGAGAGCTGAAGGGCTGGTACAAAAAGCGAATCTCGCCAAAGCAGTCGCAGCATTACAGTCCTCCCCCCTCGTGGAACCATAAGCGACAACACTCGCGGCTCTCCACGCAAAACACCCGTAGGCGACAACTGCCATTCCGGGCTGGGTAACCGGGTTCAAGGCGTCAACCCTCGCCACAACGCTCGACAAGCTACGCGAAGTTCTGGCGAAATGCCCAAACGGAATCGGCGCGGGCCCTACTGGAACTTGTTTCGAGCACCTTCGCAAACCAGCGCTAGCAAATGGGGAAGTGCTCACACTACTGCTAGAAGTCGTCAACAATCTGCTTGGCAAGGAGCAACCAGAAAGTATTCGAGAGCTCTTACTGCCCTCCCGAGTGATAGCCTTGGAGAAGCCCGATGGAGGTGTGCAACCAATAGCTATAGGAGAAGCACTACCTCGACTGACGGCCAAGATCGCACTACGGGAGCTCACGCCACATATTAGAAATTATTTTTTACCGGTGCAGTTCGGAGTCTCGGTCTCAGGAGGAGCGGAGTGTATTATCCACTCGACACGAGCACTACTTAAGGATGACCCCGACCGAGTTGCGCTGCAGCTAGATATTGAGAATGCCTTCAACTCGGTAGAGCGCCAGAGCTTCTTCACATCGCTCAGATGGTCGGGACTTCACCCCATGGTACCCTTTGTGCGCACGCTATACGAAAGCCCCTCCCCCCTGCTCCTAGACAAGGGGTTCTCCTCAAACCACATCGAGAGCACGAGGGGAGTGCGACAGGGAGACCCGTTGGGACCGACACTTTTCGCGGCAGCTATACAACCGACGCTTCTCAAGGCCGCGGATGAATTCCCATCGGTAGTGGTGATGGCTTATGCAGATGATATCACTCTGGTAGGAGACCCTGCATCGGCGGGACGAGCGATGGTGCTGATCACCAACGAACTACGCACCCACGGGCTACGATGCAATTTGGCGAAATCATCGGCGTGGAGCCCGGCGGGTGTGCTTGACAACCTACCAGCTGGACTCGTAGCGGCCGTGGACGGCATCAAAGTCCTAGGAAGCCCGATTGGATCGGCGGCCTTCGGGAGGAACTTCGTGAGGACAGCGCTGGAGAAGATCGCCGCGCCCCTGGACCTAATCAGTGGACTCCACCCCCAGCACGCCATGCTCCTCCATTCCCGCTGCATCTCGAGGAGAGCGTCGTACCTGCTCCGCACGACACCGGCCGACCTCATCTCGCTGGCGGAATGGCGCGACTGGAGCGAGCGACTACTCCAGACGGTCCTCCAAGCGGCGCACCTCTACCTGCCGGCGGACGAGATGGAGCAGAGCCTCCTATGGCGCCAGGCAACATTACCGGTGGCTTTAGGGGGCCTGGGCCTGATAGACCCGCTCTCCGAAGCCCCAGCAGCGTACCTCGCGTCCTTGACGGCGGCCCACACACTCCTACGGCAGCTCCCCCTGGCGCCAGGCAACCCCATGATCAGTACAGCACGGCTCGTGTCTCTAGAGCCAGGGGAACAGAGGCCCAACAGGGAGGACATCCGAAGGGACATGTGGGTGCGCCTACCAGCTTCGGCTCAAGCGGCACTACGGGCATACCTCGAGCGAGATGATGGGAAGGGACACCTGCAGCTGATTCTGTCACGACACATCAATACAGAGCGGGCGGTGGAACTCCTAGGGGACACGAGGGTGGACAAACCGGGCGCGGACAATGGCCACGTCCTACGTCTGCTGAGCCTCCAAGGAGCAGGCGCGGGGGATTGGCTGCATGCCATACCAACGCGAGCGGACCTTACCTTCTCCCCGGGGCAGTTCGCGCTAGCGATAGGCCTCCGCCTTGGACTCACACTGGCAGTGACGGACAACTGCCCTTGCCGAGGGAGGAGGGCGAAGATAGGGGACAGAAGCCTCCCGAACCACCTGCTGAGGTGTGCGGAAGGGGGAGACCGCACAACAACGCATAACGCACTGGTGTACTCAGCCCTCCGCATGGCAAGGGAAGCAGACTTCCTTACCTTGCACGAATCGGCCATTTTCAGCCCCATAACCAACCAAAAACGGGCGGATTTGATCATTCGTGACAAGGAGTCAGGAGAAACCCCGGTGGTGGATGTGACCGTGACGGACCCAGTGCTACAACGTCGGGACAAGCAAGCGGTGAAGCCGCCGGGATGGGCAGCGGAGGAGGCGGCAAGGACAAAACATGGCATGTACACAGGAAGGCCCGGGTGGGTGGGATGCTTCGGCATGGCGGTGGAATCGTACGGGGCAATGGCGAAGGGTACGCAGCGGTTCTTCAGGCTCCTGGGCACGTCAGGAGCCAAGAAGAGGTACAGACAGGGGAGGTCAACCACGGTTGCCTCTAGGCTCACTGCCCACTACCGACAGGGTTGGTCGGTGCTCCTCCAGCGCTGCCAAGCCAACGCCCTGCTCGCCAAGTCGAACAGGGCAGCGGAGGCAGCATACTCACAGGGCCCCTCTGACCCGTGGGAGCCACAGCTGGGGGACCTGTGGCAGGTCCTGGAGGGCGGATACGCCCAAGACTGGAGCTGGGGAGAGTAAAGGCCAGGGAGGCTAACGAGGTGGCAAGGGGAGCCTGCGGCTGGGTGGATGGCCCTACAAGTGGATAGGGGGTTTGGGTGCTTACCTAGGACTAAGGCCATGTGTCTAAGGCCATGCTTGCTTGCATAGGATTGAGGGTTGCTCATATCCTAGGATTGCTTGTTTGCTTGCCAGGACTAGCTATCACCCTGGCTGTACCCTCCTTTACATCAATGAAGGACCGCTTGAGAGAGAGAGGGAGAGAGAGAGAGAGAGAGAGAGAGAGAGAGAGAGAGAGAGAGAGAGAGAGAGAGAGAGAGAGAGAGAGAGAGAGAGAGAGAGACCCCTCCTGGGCTGGCTTCGGCAAGGGCAGTTGCCACCAGGGCAAGCGCGTTCGTCATCATCAGCGCCACAGCCTGCAGCGGGGCCCAGCGCAAGGAGCAACACGGGGGAGGCTGGTCAAGCACAACAGGGAGTCGAGCAGTCAGTTCCAATGCAGCAACCAATTCACGCCCGCGACCCAGCAAGCAACTCACCGAGAAACGCGGAGCTCGACGAGGGGCAGGGGAATAGTGTGGGGCAGGCCGACAGGGGCGGGCCGAGCTACTATGGCGATCCCTTGGGTCCCGGCTGGCAGGGGTTTAAGGTCTGCACAGGAAAGCACGAGGGGCGGCGGCGGCGCGGGCATACCCCCCGCTGTTCCCCGAGGAGGAGGGAGAGGGGGAAGGGGAGAGACACGCGGAAGGGGAGTTGCTCTTCTGGGAGGAGAGGCTGCGATCGCGAGATCAGGCCCGTGGCGTGTCCGTCACGACCGTCCAGAGCGTGTGGCTGCGCCAGCGAATGGGGGCGAGGAGGGTTCTGATAACTCCCAGAATGGGAGCGACTTTATCCCGACGCACTCCGAGGCATCGGAGGAGGTCTCCCTGGGCGATGATGAGAATCAGGATGTGTTAGCGCAGAGGCGAGGGCGGAGAAGGGAGCATGGTGGTATGCCACATCCCTCCAACATGCCAGCAGGACAGGACGCAGATGTGCCACCGCAGCCATCCGAGAAATCACCCGCTGACCTGGCTAAGGATGACTCGATCTGGCTTCTGGCTAGCACTTGGGACATTGCGCCACTCCAGCGAGCAGACCAACCGTTTCTGGTGAGGCGGTTGCCCCCCAAGATTCTGGAGAGCTACACCTTGTGCCTTCTGGCACCACTGCTGCGATTGGCTACACATCCAGACTGTGTGGGGGCGTGGACTGTGCTGCAGTTCTTGCCCCGCTTGACCCTTCGACCCCTCCCAGAGCCGGTGGAAGGGAACCGCTGGATACAGATTGAGACTCGGCTGCACCACTTCAGGCTCGGGGCTCTGGCCGATCTCTACAATGAGGCATGCGCGATCCCCGAAACTGGAGCCCCGACACGTCATCAGCCAGACGAGGCAGGCCTGTGTGCGCGAGCGGAAGGGTTGATAAAGAAGGCCAACATTTCTAAGGCAGTGTCTGCGTTACAAGTGACCCCGCTGGCGGCACCAACACCAGCTACACTCGCTGCCTTACAGGCGAAACACCCTGTTGGGGAGTTACCAATCCCGAGCTGGGTAACCAACCGCACTGGAGCGCCGGCCTCGACTTTGAACCTGACCCCAGACGATGTCCGCGAAATACTCGCGAAATGCCCGAATGGAGTTGGGGCGGGCCCCTCAGGCACATGCTTCGAGCATTTGAAAGACCCGGCCCACTGCAGCGAGGAAATCCTCATACTCCTGACCAAGCTCATCGGCCAGTTACTTAATAGTGCACAGACGAAGGAGGTACGAGACATCCTCCTGGCGTCTCGGCTGATAGCACTCGAGAAGCCAGGAGGGGGCGTAAGACCCATCGCTATAGGAGAAGCCTTGCTCAGGGTGGCGGCGAAAGCGGCACTACGCGAGTTAGCTCCAACGATTCGCGAATTTTTCCTCCCCGTCCAGTACGGCGTGTCAGTGCCTGGCGGAGCTGAGTGCGTCATTCATACCGTACGGGCCCCGCTTCGAGAGCACGATCACTACGTCGCGCTTCAACTAGACGTAGAAAATGCGTTTAATTCGGTCGAGCGGGAGGCATTTTTCTCGGCGCTGGAGATTTCGGACCTGCACCAGCTGCTGCCGTTTGTCGGAACGCTATATGACTCACCCTCGCGTCTCCTAGTCGACCCGGGCCTAGGGGTCGAGCACATCATGAGCTCTCGCGGTGTGCGTCAGGGCGACCCCCTCGGTCCTCTCCTCTTCGCAGCTGCGATCCAGCCGACCCTGATGTGCGCGGCATCTTCGCACCCAGGGGCGGCTGTCATAGCGTACGCTGATGACATTACGGTAGTGGGACCGCGGGTGGATGTGTTCAACGCCTTCGACGCTATCATCACAGGGCTGGCTAAGCTCGGGCTCCGGTGCAATGTGGCCAAGTCATCGGCATGGGGACCACGGGAGAGAGACGAGGGGCAGGCGGGTCCACCACACGGATTGCGGATGAGTACGGAGGGGATCAGGGTGCTTGGTAGTCCCATCGGCACGCCGGAGTACTGCACAACAGAGATCCGGCAAGCGCTCGCCAAGGCATCAGCACCTGTCCCTCTTATCGCACAGCTGCACCCCCAACATGCCCTGCTACTACTCACCCGCAGCATCTCACGCAGGATCTCCTATCTGCTCCGCACCACTCCGAGCAGCACACTGGAACGGGAGGAGTGGAGGGCGTGGAGCGAGTCGCTGTTGGGGGCGGCGCTTGCGGTAGCCAAGCTACGGATCCCGGCCAGCGAACTGGAACAGAGCCTTTTGTGGCGACAGGCAACTCTGCCCGTGCGCCTGGGGGGGCTTAGCATCATTGATCCTGTCTCTGAGGCCCCAGCGGCTTATATTGCGTCCCTGACGGCAGCGCATCACCTGTTGCAGCAGATGAACTTGCGGGAGGAAGAGCTGTTAGCGCGGGCTGTGACATTGCTGTCCAGAGAGTGGGTTCCTCCGCCCCCAGCATCGAATGTGCTGGTGACTCTGGAGGAGAGGCTGCCGGCAGAGGCGCAGATGGCACTACAGGCCTACAGAGAGGGCCCTCAGGGGCAGGGTAACCTGCAGCTGCTCCTGTCCAAACACATCAATGCGGTTCGAGCCAGGGAGCTGCTAGCGGATACCTTGGTTGACAAACCGGGTGAAGACCAAGGGCACGGGGTCCGGCTGGTCAGCCTGAAGGGAGTAGGAGCCGGGGATTGGCTACACGCAGTGCCAACGAGATCTGACCTTACATTTGCCCCTGGTCAGTTCTCGTTGGCACTCGGGTTCCGCCTCGGGATGGCCCTACCAGTCACGGTCAACTGCCCCTGTAAACGCAGCAACTCGGGAATCACAGATACCAGTCTGGCAAATCACCTGCTCCGCTGTGGGGAGGGGGGGGATGTGGTGAGGACGCATAACGCTTTGGTTTTTACGGCGCTGAGATTGGCAAAAGAAGCAGGCTTCAATACTTTCCATGAGACGTCGGTGTTTTCCCCCCCCGTCCACCGCAAGCGGGCGGACCTGGCGTTCCAGGACAGGGAATCTGCGGAGACCTGGGTCACGGATGTAACAGTGACAGACCCGGTGCTGCAGAAGCGAGACCCTAGGGTGCGGAAGCCGCCGGGGTGGGCTGCCAGGGAAGCTTCGGAGAAGAAACACCGCCTGTATGAAGGCCGGCCTGACTACGTAGGGTGTTTTGGTCTTGCAGTTGAAACTTACGGGGCGCTGGCGGCGGATACAGTGCAGTTCCTAAGGTTGTTGGCTGTAGCCGCGGCGAGGAAGAAATTCAGGCAGGGGCCACTTACTACTACAGCCTCCCGCCTCAATGCACACTACCGCCAACGCTGGTCGGTCATGCTGCAGCGTTCCCAGGCGGTTTCTATCCTCAACAAGAGCAACATGGCAGCCGAAGCGGCCTTCCCCCAAGCACCCACGGACCCCTGGGAGCCGAGCCTAGGGGATCTCTGGCAGGTACTAGATGATGACCTTGCAGGAGTGTAGGCTCAGCTACAGCCGATGATGGGCCACGGGAAGGGATGCCGGCGCAAGGGGTACCGGCTTGGGTGGCGTGGACACGGGCGGCGGCGGCTGCGCGGCGCTTGAATCCCCTCCGTCGCCAGGTGTGGCGGTGGTGGCGGATGAGAACTTGGCGCGGACGCCAACGACTGCGGTGCCGGCTCTGAGGCCGAGGACGGCTGCTGCTGCGATGTCGAAGACTGTGACATCGGTGGCGGAAGCTGCAGGGGCTGGGACTGCGCCACTTGGGGCGGAGCTGACGGACCAAGTGGGCGGTACGCCTGAGGCCCGTGTGGGCGCTGGGGACGAGGCGGCCGACGACGGCGAAAGTTCTGCCCGCGAGGTCGCAGTTGGGGAGGTGCCCGGCCACGGGAGAACCGGAACATCTGCTGGCGGGGGGCCGGCGAGGGAGGAGGAGGCTGCGAAACACCGCCACCTACTCCGGCCGCAACCACATCCGCGGCGGCTCGGAGCAGGGCTGGGACCTGCCCGCCCTGGGCCCCTTGCGGGGTGGGAGCAGCAAGAGGACTCGCCGGACGCTCCGGCGCCTGGTGTGGGCGTCGCTTGCCCGTCATCGAACGGGCATGCGGACGCAGCGGAAGGGACACACGAGGCGGAGGCTGTTATAGCGGTGGGGGCGGACCACGAGGATACGCTAGAACGGCGCGGCGACACGGCAGAACGCAGGCAACGGACTGGCACGAGCCGTCAAAGGGCGCTCCAGGACCAGGCCGACGAACGGGCGGCAGGCCTGCAGCCGCAAAACGCGGCACCAAGGGCGGCGGGCAGGGGCCGAGGGAGGGGACGGAACGGGGGGAGAGGTCTTCGAGATCTGGCGGGAGCGGTGGCGAGGGAGAAAGCCAGATCTGGAAACTGGCGGGAAAGGCATGAGAGGCCAGAGGAGCAGGTTGAGGGTCCAATGAATGAAGGAGAAGAGGAGGGCGGGTCAGAATATATGGCCTCACAGGATGCGGAATCAGAGGAGGCCTCATTGGAGGCTGAGCGGGGGGTGCCCGTCCCAACCACAAATTGGGCTGGAGGAATCGGACGGGAGCGAGGGGAGGCCCCAGCAGACGTGGGAGAATCAGGGCCACAGCAGCCTAACGAGGCTGCCAGCAGGGAGCGAGATCCCAGCATTATCGTGGAAGACGAGGCCACCTGGCAGCGGATTCATGCATGGGATCTGGGACCACTTCAATCTAGCGCCCAACCCTTCCTGGTCCGGAAGCTTCCGTCGGAAATCCTGAAGAACTTTAGCCTCTGCCTCACGATCCCGCTGCTGCGGTTGTCAAAGTATCCGAACTGCCCAGCCGCGTGGCGAATCCTACAGTTTCTGCCGAGACTGACACTTAGGGCGAGCCTGGAAAAAACTCCCGGGAACAAGTGGGCAGCTGTGGAGAAGCGTCTACAGCAATTTCGTGAGGAGGATTGGGATTCACTGTACCTTGAGGCCAGCACCTTCCCGGCAAACTCCAAACCCAGTAGACACGAGCCGGATCTAGAGGGCATCTGTGCCAGGGCAGAAGGGCTGGTCCGGAAAGCAAACCTGGCGAAGGCAGTGGCAGCACTGCGAACATCGCCGCTGGCGGAAACGTCGCAGCCAACACTGGAGGCACTCCGCTCGAAACACCCAGCTGCGGAATCAGCGATACCCGAAGGCACAAAGGGGTTACACCACATCGGCACTCGCCATTGGGGCGGAGCAGTTTCGCGAAGTACTGGCGAAGTGCCCGAACGGAATTGGAGCAGGCCCATCAGGCACGTGTTTCGAACACCTCCGCGACCCTGCTCTAACAAACGGGGAAATCTTCACTCTGCTCCACAAGACAGTGAACCTGCTGCTCAACAATTACCAGAACGAGCAGCTGCAAGAACTACTACTCCATGCCAAGTTGATAGCACTAGAAAAGCCAGGAGGCGGCGTGAGGCCCATAGCCATAGGCCAGGCGATCCTTCGGCTCACAGCCAAGGCGACACTCAGGGAGCTGTCCGCGGAAATCCGGGCCTGTTTCCTACCTGTGCAATTCGGCGTGGCCGTCGCGGGAGGCGCGGAGTGCATAATCCACAAGGCGCGCACGCTCCTCGCCGAGGATCCGAGCAGGATAGCGCTCCAACTGGACATCGAGAATGCATTCAACACGGTCGAACGCGGGTGTTTCTTAGAGTCAATGAGATGGACGAGCCTTGTCCTGTTACTAGCGCTCGTACGAACCCTCTACAGCAAACCGTCGAAACTACTCCTCGACAGCGGGTTCGAAGTGGCGTCGATCGATAGTGCACAAGGGGTGCGCCAAGGCAACCCGCTCGGCCCCATGCTCTTCGCCGCTGCTATACAACCAGCACTGCTCACGGCAGCGGAAGCAGTGCCCACAGTGACCATGATGGCGTATGCAGACGACATCACGATCATCGGCAAACCGGCGGATGCAACGCGGGCGCTGAACATGATCTGCGGCGAACTAATGGGATACGGTCTCCGGTGCAACCTAGCCAAGTCGACGGCGTGGAGTCCCTCGGGAAGCACCGGAAACCTCCCGGACGGACTGGTGGCGGCGGTTGATGGCATAAAGTTATTGGGAAGCCCCATCGGGACCTTAGCCTACAGCAGACGCGTGGTAAGGGCGACACTGGAATCTACGGCGGAACCGCTCGGCCTCATCGGCAAGCTTCACCCACAACACGCCCTGCTACTGCTGTCACGGTGCATCTCCAGAAGAATCTCGTACCTGCTTCGCACGACACCCGCGGATGTGCTACCACGGCGCGAATGGAGAGAATGGAGCGAGAGGCTCCTGTGGACTGCCCTCAAGGCGGCCCACCTGCACACACCCTCCAAGGAGATCGAGCAGAGCCTGGTGTGGAGGCAAGCGTCACTGCCGATCGCCCTGGGGGGATTGGGACTGGTCGACCCGCTCTCGGAGGCGCCAGCTGCGTTTTTAGCCTCTCTGAACGTGGCGCAGACACTCCTGCTGAAGGCCTCTAGCACGCCCTACCACCCACTCCAGCACGTGGCGGCACTGCTGTCGCCGCATGAGGATGGAGGCGGGAGCGGAGGGAGAACGGCCTTACAGGACCTGAGGAGCAGGTTGCCGGAAGCGGCGCGGGAGGTACTGAAGGAGGCCGGCAAGAAGAGGGAGTGGAAGGGCCGCCTGCAGGAGCAGCTGTCCAAGCATGTGAACCTGGACCGTGCGGCAGAGTTGGTTGGCGACATGCGGATTGACAAGCGGGGTGAGGACAACGGTCACGTCATCCGGTTGATCGCCCTGCAGGGGACGGGGGCGGGGGACTGGCTTCATGCAATCCCCACACGTGCGGACCTGACCTTCTCCCCAGGGCAGTTTGCTATCGCCCTCGGCTTCCAGCTGGGGTTGACCCTGCCGGTAACGGAGAACTGCCCTTGCGGCAAGGCACGGTCGAAGATAGAGGACTGCAGCCTCCCAAACCACCTGTTGCGGTGCGCGGAAGGGAGGGACAGGACAAAGACGCACAACAGCCTGGTGTATGCAGCATTACGGATGGCCAGAGAGGCCGACTACATGACCATGCATGAGACCGCGGTCTACTCGCCAATAGTCAACCCTAAGCGAGCGGACCTGGTCATCACGGACAGGGAGTCGGCCGAGACCTTCGTCACTGACGTTACAGTGGCAGATCCGGTACTGCAACGCCGAGACACACGGGCTGTGAAGCGTCTCGGCTGGGCAGCTGAGGATGCGGCAAGGGGGAAGAGGGGGCTGTATGAAGGGCGCCCAGACTTCGTGGGGGTGTTCGGGCTGGCGGTTGAGACCTATGGGGCCTTAGCACAAGACACCCAGAGGTTCCTCCGACTTCTCGGCACCCAGGCGGCCAAGAAGAAGTACAGACAGGGGAGGCTCACCACAGTGGCCTCGAAGCTGACCGCACACTACTGACAGAGGTGGTCAGTGATGCTCCAGCGCAGCCAGGCCAGCACCCTGCTGGCAAAGTCGAATAGGGTTGCAGAGCGGGCGTTCCCCCAGGCCCCAGTCGACCCGTGGGAGCCCCGCCTTGGGGACATCTGGCAGGTCCTGGAGGACGAACTGGACTGGGGGCCGGTCCTGGATGGGTGAGGGGCCGGGGTAAGGGGGCTGGAGTGAGGAGGCTGGAGGGTGAGGTGACCCCAGGCTGCGGCCCTAGGGGAGTAGGCACTAGGTAGGCCTCATGGCTTCTCTGGCCGACGGGCAAGCTTGTCACAAGTTGTTGTTGTCTGTTGCTTGCTTGCTGTTTGGATACCTAGACTGCATGTTAGAGTTGTTGGTGTTTCTTACATGCCTTGCCTGTACCCTGCATAGTATCAATGAAGGACCGCTTGAGAGAGATGGCCTAGTTCCAGTCCTTAGCCGTTTCTAGGCCTCTCTAGCTTAGGATCCAGTCCTTAGCCGTTTTTAGCCTAGTTTCCTTAGTATAAAGCACCTGGATCCAGTCCTTTGAGCTCATTATTCAATGGTGAGTTGGGTTCACTCTCCAAAAACCGGCGGGTGTGACAAGGAAGCAAGGCTAGAACCAGAAAGCAGCAACGTGCATACTAAGACAACGGTACAACATGGCCCACTAGGCAACCGGAAAATCCGGCACAGGTTAGTCCCGATAATGGGGAGAAAGAAGCAATCGCCGGCGGCAAAAGCTGGAGGGGCCACTACATCAGCCTCACACGCCTCCCAACCCACTGGAGCAAAGACGCGATCGCAGGGACGAGATCCAGCGGCGACTCTTCAGCCGTCGTGGCTACCCTGCGGAAAGCCAAGGCGCCAGGACCATCATCAAGCTCAACATCCTCCGGCTCTAGCGGCAAGTGGAGCAGCTCCCACATCGCCTCCGACAATGCCCCTCGAACAAGCCCCTGTTGAACTTCATCAAGCTGAGGGTCACGGGCGACGAGCAGCCGACTCTGCACGGCAAGGTGATATTGCTCAAGCACCGTCGCAAGGCGCGTCACGAAGCACCCGAACTGAGATAGGCGCTCCCCGCGCTCAAGATACTCGGCCTCGCCTGGGGTCTGACCCCACCCTTGCCCCCACCCAGGCTCGCGGGAAAAATTTGGCCAGCCCATGTTCCACCACTCTAGCTGCGGATCTCGTGCAGTCCCGGGCGTCTCAAACTCGTCCCAGCCGCGGTGGCGCTCGTTTGGCTGCGACGACACCTAGACAGGAGTCACGACGAGGAGTCAGACATGAGCAAGGAGTACATCACAATAGACAGGGAGAGAACACACACGGAAAGCCAACAGCAGGGAAAGCTGGGTCAACAGACGGGAAAGCGCCAAATACGGGGGGACCTCTGCTGGTGACGGAGGTCCCAGACTCACCACACCCCAGCAAGCAGCGGCAGGACGGGGACGAGGAACAAGAGGATGCTGGCGCTGAGGCTGCTGGACGGGAGGAGTGGGCGGCGGTGGAGCCGGAGCCGCGGGAGGGGCTGAGACAGACGGCGCAACAAGAAGCGCCGACGCAACATGGAGCTGGGGTTGCGCCGGCAAAACCGACGGCGGGTGTGGAGGAGGAGGTGCGGAAGGAAGCACAGGCGCCGGCTGTATCTGAAGTGAGGCAAGCGCAGGCAGGGCCAGCGCCGGCGGTGGCTGAGACAGTGGGGGAGGAACCGAAGGCGGAGGCACCGCCGGCACAAGCGGCGGCGGAGGGACCTGCCGATGAGGAGGAAATGGCCTCGGCCGCCAGGGTTGATGGCGGGGACACCGGGGATGACGGAGTGGCTGACCCCGTGGGCGGAGGTAGTACGGCGTTCGACCGGGTGGCGGGTGATACACAGGGCGTCGGGAGTCCGGGGATTGACGCCGCCCACGCCTCGATCCGCCGCTCGATTCGGCTTCAACCAAGTCCGCGGCGGCTCAGAGCAGGGCTGGCACCTGGCCTCCTTGGCCCCCTTCGGGGGTGGGAGTGCCAGACCTACTAACCACGACCTCACGGCGAGGGGCCTTCGCGGCCTTACCCGTCATCGGCGAGAGCGGAGGAGGAGGAAGCGCCCGAGTTACCAGAAGGGGAAGTTTTACGACCGCCAAGTGCGGTGGGAAGGACGCGGGGCAGAGCGCAAGGCTGAGCAAGAGGGCGCGCGGGGGCACAGTGACGGGGGCAACGAAGAAGGGCAGTCAAACGCGCGGGAACGAGTCCAATCCGGACCTTGGCGGGAAAGACACGGGAGACCAGAGGTGGTGCCAGAAGAAGGAGGCGCTGATGGGCCGGTTGATGCTGACAACGACGAGGAGGAGGCCTATATGGCATCTGAGGAAGGAGAATAGGAAGAGGTTTCACTGGAAGATGAGCTTGGGGTGGGTAACCACCAGGGGAACGCGAGATCTGGGAGAGCACGCAGGGGAGGAAATGGGCGGACAGGAGGGGAGCAACAGCACAGGGATCCGCCACGTGTGGCCCCAATAGGCCCACCTGCTGGCGCGGAAGTGAGGGACATGCGCCCACCGGAAGTGATAGCAGGGGACGAGGAAATCTGGCGACAGGTGGCTGAATGGGAGGTAGACTACCTGCGAAGCAGTGAACAACCCTTCCTGGCAAGGAGAATGCCACCTGGGGTGGTGGATTCATTTGCGGCGTGCCTCGTCATCCCGCTCCAGCGACTGAGGAAAAATCCTACGTGCCCTGGAGCTTGGCGGGTACTCCTCTTTTTGCCACATTTGACACTCCGCGCCGACATTGACCCCCTGACCCCAAAATCACTGGCAGGAGATCGAGAGCAGACTGCAACAGTTCCTACTGGAAAAATGGGAGCTACTGTTCATGCAAGCCAAAACCGTACCAGAAGACCCCAAACCGGCCAGACACCAGCCAGACCCCGAGGAACTTCGGGCGAGAGCTGAAGGGCTGGTACAAAAAGCGAATCTCGCCAAAGCAGTCGCAGCATTACAGTCCTCCCCCCTCGTGGAACCATAAGCGACAACACTCGCGGCTCTCCACGCAAAACACCCGTAGGCGACAACTGCCATTCCGGGCTGGGTAACCGGGTTCAAGGCGTCAACCCTCGCCACAACGCTCGACAAGCTACGCGAAGTTCTGGCGAAATTCCCAAACGGAATCGGCGCGGGCCCTACTGGAACTTGTTTCGAGCACCTTCGCAAACCAGCGCTAGCAAATGGGGAAGTGCTCACACTACTGCTAGAAGTCGTCAACAATCTGCTTGGCAAGGAGCAACCAGAAAGTATTCGAGAGCTCTTACTGCCCTCCCGAGTGATAGCCTTGGAGAAGCCCGATGGAGGTGTGCAACCAATAGCTATAGGAGAAGCACTACCTCGACTGACGGCCAAGATCGCACTACGGGAGCTCACGCCACATATTAGAAATTATTTTTTACCGGTGCAGTTCGGAGTCTCGGTCTCAGGAGGAGCGGAGTGTATTATCCACTCGACACGAGCACTACTTAAGGATGACCCCGACCGAGTTGCGCTGCAGCTAGATATTGAGAATGCCTTCAACTCGGTAGAGCGCCAGAGCTTCTTCACATCGCTCAGATGGTCGGGACTTCACCCCATGGTACCCTTTGTGCGCACGCTATACGAAAGCCCCTCCCCCCTGCTCCTAGACAAGGGGTTCTCCTCAAACCACATCGAGAGCACGAGGGGAGTGCGACAGGGAGACCCGTTGGGACCGACACTTTTCACGGCAGCTATACAACCGACGCTTCTCAAGGCCGCGGATGAATTCCCATCGGTAGTGGTGATGGCTTATGCAGATGATATCACTCTGGTAGGAGACCCTGCATCGGCGGGACGAGCGATGGTGCTGATCACCAACGAACTACGCACCCACGGGCTACGATGCAATTTGGCGAAATCATCGGCGTGGAGCCCGGCGGGTGTGCTTGACAACCTACCAGCTGGACTTGTAGCGGCCGTGGACGGCATCAAAGTCCTAGGAAGCCCGATTGGATCGGCGGCCTTCGGGAGGAACTTCGTGAGGACAGCGCTGGAGAAGATCGCCGCGCCCCTGGACCTAATCAGTGGACTCCACCCCCAGCACGCCATGCTCCTCCATTCCCGCTGCATCTCGAGGAGAGCGTCGTACCTGCTCCGCACGACACCGGCCGACCTCATCTCGCTGGCGGAATGGCGCGACTGGAGCGAGCGACTACTCCAGATGGTCCTCCAAGCGGCGCACCTCTACCTGCCGGCGGACGAGATGGAGCAGAGCCTCCTATGGCGCCAGGCAACATTACCGGTGGCTTTAGGGGGCCTGGGCCTGATAGACCCGCTCTCCGAAGCCCCAGCAGCGTACCTCGCGTCCTTGACGGCGGCCCACACACTCCTACGGCAGCTCCCCCTGGCGCCAGGCAACCCCATGATCAGTACAGCACGGCTCGTGTCTCTAGAGCCAGGGGAACAGAGGCCCAACAGGGAGGACATCCGAAGGGACATGTGGGTGCGCCTACCAGCTTCGGCTCAAGCGGCACTACGGGCATACCTCGAGCGAGATGATGGGAAGGGACACCTGCAGCTGATTCTGTCACGACACATCAATACAGAGCGGGCGGTGGAACTCCTAGGGGACACGAGGGTGGACAAACCGGGCGCGGACAATGGCCACGTCCTACGTCTGCTGAGCCTCCAAGGAGCAGGCGCGGGGGATTGGCTGCATGCCATACCAACGCGGGCGGACCTTACCTTCTCCCCGGGGCAGTTCGCGCTAGCGATAGGCCTCCGCCTTGGACTCACACTGGCAGTGACGGACAACTGCCCTTGCCGAGGGAGGAGGGCGAAGATAGGGGACAGAAGCCTCCCGAACCACCTGCTGAGGTGTGCGGAAGGGGGAGACCGCACAACAACGCATAACGCACTGGTGTACTCAGCCCTCCGCATGGCAAGGGAAGCAGACTTCCTTACCTTGCACGAATCGGCCATTTTCAGCCCCATAACCAACCAAAAACGGGCGGATTTGATCATTCGTGACAAGGAGTCAGGAGAAACCCCGGTGGTGGATGTGACCGTGACGGACCCAGTGCTACAACGTCGGGACAAGCAAGCGGTGAAGCCGCCGGGATGGGCAGCGGAGGAGGCGGCAAGGACAAAACATGGCATGTACACGGGAAGGCCGGGGTGGGTGGGATGCTTCGGCATGGCGGTGGAATCGTACGGGGCAATGGCGAAGGGTACGCAGCGGTTCTTCAGGCTCCTGGGCACGTCAGGAGCCAAGAAGAGGTACAGACAGGGGAGGTCAACCACGGTTGCCTCTAGGCTCACTGCCCACTACCGACAGGGTTGGTCGGTGCTCCTCCAGCGCTGCCAAGCCAACGCCCTGCTCGCCAAGTCGAACAGGGCAGCGGAGGCAGCATACTCACAGGGCCCCTCTGACCCGTGGGAGCCACAGCTGGGGGACCTGTGGCAGGTCCTGGAGGGCGGATACGCCCAAGACTGGAGCTGGGGAGAGTAAAGGCCAGGGAGGCCGACGAGGTGGCAAGGGGAGCCTGCGGCTGGGTGGATGGCCCTACAAGTGGATAGGGGGTTTGGGTGCTTACCTAGGACTAAGGCCATGTGTCTAAGGCCATGCTTGCTTGCATAGGATTGAGGGTTGCTCATATCCTAGGATTGCTTGTTTGCTTGCCAGGACTAGCTATCACCCTGGCTGTACCCTCCTTTACATCAATGAAGGACCGCTTGAGAGAGAGAGAGAGAGAGAGAGAGAGAGAGAGAGAGAGAGAGAGAGAGAGAGAGAGAGAGAGAGAGAGAGAGAGAGAGAGACCCCTCCTGGGCTGGCTTCGGCAAGGGCAGTTGCCACCAGGGCAAGCGCGTTCGTCATCATCAGCGCCACAGCCTGCAGCGGGGCCCAGCGCAAGGAGCAACACGGGGGAGGCTGGTCAAGCACAACAGGGAGTCGAGCAGTCAGTTCCAATGCAGCAACCAATTCACGCCCGCGACCCAGCAAGCAACTCACCGAGAAACGCGGAGCTCAACGAGGGGCAGGGGAATAGTGTGGGGCAGGCCGACAGGGGCGGGCCGAGCTACTATGGCGATCCCTTGGGTCCCGGCTGGCAGGGGTTTAAGGTCTGCACAGGAAAGCACGAGGGGCGGCGGCGGCGCGGGCATACCCCCCGCTGTTCCCCGAGGAGGAGGGAGAGGGGGAAGGGGAGAGACACGCGGAAGGGGAGTTGCTCTTCTGGGAGGAGAGGCTGCGATCGCGAGATCAGGCCCGTGGCGTGTCCGTCACGACCGTCCAGAGCGTGTGGCTGCGCCAGCGAATGGGGGCGAGGAGGGTTCTGATAACTCCCAGAATGGGAGCGACTTTATCCCGACGCACTCCGAGGCATCGGAGGAGGTCTCCCTGGGCGATGATGAGAATCAGGATGTCTTAGCGCAGAGGCGAGGGCGGAGAAGGGAGCATGGTGGTATGCCACATCCCTCCAACATGCCAGCAGGACAGGACGCAGATGTGCCACCGCAGCCATCCGAGAAATCACCCGCTGACCTGGCTAAGGATGACTCGATCTGGCTTCTGGCTAGCACTTGGGACATTGCGCCACTCCAGCGAGCAGACCAACCGTTTCTGGTGAGGCGGTTGCCCCCCAAGATTCTGGAGAGCTACACCTTGTGCCTTCTGGCACCACTGCTGCGATTGGCTACACATCCAGACTGTGTGGGGGCGTGGACTGTGCTGCAGTTCTTGCCCCGCTTGACCCTTCGACCCCTCCCAGAGCCGGTGGAAGGGAACCGCTGGATACAGATTGAGACTCGGCTGCACCACTTCAGGCTCGGGGCTCTGGCCGATCTCTACAATGAGGCATGCGCGATCCCCGAAACTGGAGCCCCGACACGTCATCAGCCAGACGAGGCAGGCCTGTGTGCGCGAGCGGAAGGGTTGATAAAGAAGGCCAACATTTCTAAGGCAGTGTCTGCGTTACAAGTGACCCCGCTGGCGGCACCAACACCAGCTACACTCGCTGCCTTACAGGCGAAACACCCTGTTGGGGAGTTACCAATCCCGGGCTGGGTAACCAACCGCACTGGAGCGCCGGCCTCGACTTTGAACCTGACCCCAGACGATGTCCGCGAAATACTCGCGAAATGCCCGAATGGAGTTGGGGCGGGCCCCTCAGGCACATGCTTCGAGCATTTGAAAGACCCGGCCCACTGCAGCGAGGAAATCCTCATACTCCTGACCAAGCTCATCGGCCAGTTACTTAATAGTGCACAGACGAAGGAGGTACGAGACATCCTCCTGGCGTCTCGGCTGATAGCACTCGAGAAGCCAGGAGGGGGCGTAAGACCCATCGCTATAGGAGAAGCCTTGCTCAGGGTGGCGGCGAAAGCGGCACTACGCGAGTTAGCTCCAACGATTCGCGAATTTTTCCTCCCCGTCCAGTACGGCGTGTCAGTGCCTGGCGGAGCTGAGTGCGTCATTCATACCGTACGGGCCCTGCTTCGAGAGCACGATCACTACGTCGCGCTTCAACTAGACGTAGAAAATGCGTTTAATTCGGTCGAGCGGGAGGCATTTTTCTCGGCGCTGGAGATTTCGGACCTGCACCAGCTGCTGCCGTTTGTCGGAACGCTATATGACTCACCCTCGCGTCTCCTAGTCGACCCGGGCCTAGGGGTCGAGCACATCATGAGCTCTCGCGGTGTGCGTCAGGGCGACCCCCTCGGTCCTCTCCTCTTCGCAGCTGCGATCCAGCCGACCCTGATGTGCGCGGCATCTTCGCACCCAGGGGCGGCTGTCATAGCGTACGCTGATGACATTACGGTAGTGGGACCGCGGGTGGATGTGTTCAACGCCTTCGACGCTATCATCACAGGGCTGGCTAAGCTCGGGCTCCGGTGCAATGTGGCCAAGTCATCGGCATGGGGACCACGGGAGAGAGACGAGGGGCAGGCGGGTCCACCACACGGATTGCGGATGAGTACGGAGGGGATCAGGGTGCTTGGTAGTCCCATCGGCACGCCGGAGTACTGCACAACAGAGATCCGGCAAGCGCTCGCCAAGGCATCAGCACCTGTCCCTCTTATCGCACAGCTGCACCCCCAACATGCCCTGCTACTACTCACCCGCAGCATCTCACGCAGGATCTCCTATCTGCTCCGCACCACTCCGAGCAGCACACTGGAACGGGAGGAGTGGAGGGCGTGGAGCGAGTCGCTGTTGGGGGCGGCGCTTCCGGCAGCCAAGCTACGGATCCCGGCCAGCGAACTGGAACAGAGCCTTTTGTGGCGACAGGCAACTCTGCCCGTGCGCCTGGGGGGGCTTAGCATCATTGATCCTGTCTCTGAGGCCCCAGCGGCTTATATTGCGTCCCTGACGGCAGCGCATCACCTGTTGCAGCAGATGAACTTGCGGGAGGAAGAGCTGTTAGCGCGGGCTGTGACATTGCTGTCCAGAGAGTGGGTTCCTCCGCCCCCAGCATCGAATGTGCTGGTGACTCTGGAGGAGAGGCTGCCGGCAGAGGCGCAGATGGCACTACAGGCCTACAGAGAGGGCCCTCAGGGGCAGGGTAACCTGCAGCTGCTCTTGTCCAAACACATCAATGCGGTTCGAGCCAGGGAGCTGCTAGCGGATACCTTGGTTGACAAACCGGGTGAAGACCAAGGGCACGGGGTCCGGCTGGTCAGCCTGAAGGGAGTAGGAGCCGGGGATTGGCTAGACGCAGTGCCAACGAGATCTGACCTTACATTTGCCCCTGGTCAGTTCTCGTTGGCACTCGGGTTCCGCCTCGGGATGGCCCTACCAGTCACGGTCAACTGCCCCTGTAAACGCAGCAACTCGGGAATCACAGATACCAGTCTGGCAAATCACCTGCTCCGCTGTGGGGAGGGGGGGGATGTGGTGAGGACGCATAACGCTTTGGTTTTTACGGCGCTGAGATTGGCAAAAGAAGCAGGCTTCAATACTTTCCATGAGACGTCGGTGTTTTCCCCCCCCGTCCACCGCAAGCGGGCGGACCTGGCGTTCCAGGACAGGGAATCTGCGGAGACCTGGGTCACGGATGTAACAGTGACAGACCCGGTGCTGCAGAAGCGAGACCCTAGGGTGCGGAAGCCGCCGGGGTGGGCTGCCAGGGAAGCTTCGGAGAAGAAACACCGCCTGTATGAAGGCCGGCCTGACTACGTAGGGTGTTTTGGTCTTGCAGTTGAAACTTACGGGGCGCTGGCGGCGGATACAGTGCAGTTCCTAAGGTTGTTGGCTGTAGCCGCGGCGAGGAAGAAATTCAGGCAGGGGCCACTTACTACTACAGCCTCCCGCCTCAATGCACACTACCGCCAACGCTGGTCGGTCATGCTGCAGCGTTCCCAGGCGGTTTCTTTCCTCAACAAGAGCAACATGGCAGCCGAAGCGGCCTTCCCCCAAGCACCCACGGACCCCTGGGAGCCGAGCCTAGGGGATCTCTGGCAGGTACTAGATGATGACCTTGCAGGAGTGTAGGCTCAGCTAGGGAGGAGGGAGGTGCGGCTGGTAGGAGCAGGGCTAGGCTGAGTAGGAGGCCAGGTTGACCTAGACGGCCCTACTCACAACACCAGGCTGCTCTAGCGATGCTCACCTTGAGGGTTTGTGAACGCTTCGTTGCTGGTTTTGTTAGCATGCTTGCTTATCTGCCCGTCCTTGCTTGCCTAGGATAGCTGGTCATTCAGAACCATGCCTGCATGCCTGTACCCCCTCAACAACATCAATGCATGACCGCTTGAGAGAGAAAGAGAGAGAGAGAGAGAGAGAGAGAGAGAGAGAGAGAGAGAGAGAGAGAGAGAGAGAGAGAGAGAGAGAGAGAGAGAGAGAGAGAGAGAGAGAGAGAGAGAGAGAGAGAGAGAGTGAGAGAGAGAGAGAGAGAGAGAGAGAGAGAGAGAGAGAGAGAGAGAGAGAGAGAGAGAGAGAGAGAGAGAGGGTCCTTAGCCTCTGCCCTCTGCCTCTAGCCCTCTGCCCTCTCCCCTTAGCCCTCTGCCCTCTCCTTTGTGAGCTATATAAGAGGCCTCTCTGGGCCTCTTCATCTTATTGTTCTGTGTTGGTGCAGAATGTTTTGCTCGCGCCGGCCGTCGCGCGTGAGGGTACGACAAGGGGAGCAAACACGCAACGGACTATAAGAAGCATCAGTTACAGGCAATGGCAACACATATGACTGCCTAGGGAAACATGCAGGAGAGAGGCGGCGATTACATGCGGTCCGCCTCCAGAGCGGCAAGAATCCTAGCATGGGTCCTCCACAGCTCCCGTACCACCAAGGAGCTTGCGCCGATCGCATCGGCTGCAGATACTGCGCGCAAATAACGGCGCAGGCCACGAACCGCGGCTTCAAGTTGCCCCACAGCCGCGAAACCTCCCAGCGTGGGCGCAGCCAACACGGGCGCCAGGAGCAGGCCGAGTTGGTCGGCCGCCTCAAGGCAATCCGCCCTCTGTCTATCAAGAAGAACACCCCGGGGAGGCCGGGACAGAGAGGCGTGCGCTTGGACCTGAATCAGCAGGAGTGCACGCAGGCTCTCAGAGAGCCGCCACATCTGGCCGAGCGTCGCCTCCGGCACGCTCACCTGCGGGGGAAGAGCCTCTACAGCCGGATAAGGAAAATGAGGAGCAGCAGCAGCGGGAACGGCATCTGCCGCAAGAGGAGGACGGTACTGCCCCCCCGCCGCTCCAACTCCCGCCCCCACAAACTCCATGCCCGCCACAGGCGGGACCCACGGCAGCTGAAGATTGGTGCCCGCTGTCTCTACCCCGAGAACAGGAGCCGGTTGGGGAACACCAACGGGGCGGGCAGCAGGAGAAGGAACGCCAGGACCCGGCGCCGCTTGCTGCGAGTAGCTCGTGCCCGTCGTGTCAGCCTGAGCATCACGCACTGCCGCCGTCACAAGTTGGCGGATTTCCGCTGGAGTCATCTCAGGGGCAACGCCACGTCCATAGCCGTGACCTCCCCACCAGCCACCTTGAGCGCCACGGCGCGCAGTCCAGTTCCCTTGAGAGCGGCGGCCCCGAGGAGATTCATGCCGGCGCCGCGACGATTCCCGCTCATCGTGCTGGAGGGGCGAATGAGGACGAGACGGGCGGCGGGCAGGTGACTGGGGGCGACGAGGCTGCCCGGACGGAGCAAGCGGAGGCGCCACGGGCGTTGACTGAACCCGCGCCTGGCTCAGGCCGGCGCTGGTGGCTAGAGGTGGCGGGTAAGGCGGGTCCGCAGCAGCAGCAGAAGGCGCCCCGGCGGGCGCAGCCTGTGGCGGCACGAAGGCCGCCCCAACAGACGCAGACGAGGCCGCGACAATAGGCACAGGCACAGACTCCTTCTCAGGGGAAAGGGGAATCGCCGGAGCAGGCGCAGGAGGAAGCGTAGGAACAAACGCCGCAGCTGGCGCAGGGGCAGGCGCAGGAGCAGATGCCGAGCCGGGCGCGGGAGCATGCGCCGAGGCGGGCGCAGGATCAGGCGCCACGGCAAGCGCGTACGACGACGCCACAACAGGAGCTGGCGCCACAACAGGCGCAGGGGTCGGGCCAGCAAGAGTCACGGACGACGGCGCAGATCCAGGAGCAGGAAGCGGCGACATCCCCACAGCCGCCGGTGCTGGGGACGATACGGTCGGAGGGGAAACTACAGCAGACGCCACGTCAAAGGGCGGTGGCGAATACGGATAATCGTCGCCTATCGACACAGGCATCACGGGGCGGACGAGGCGGCGGACAAGTAGGTCCGACAGGAAGGGGAGGCGGCCCCAAGAATGGCTTCCAGAGAGAGGCACGGCGTTCTCTAACTCGAAGAGCTGAACACAATGAAGCTGAGGACGATGCAGGAGACCCAACGTTTATAGCACCGGTAGCAGAAGAATCAACTACAGAGGAGTCGGGGGAGTTGGAGGAGGAAGAACGGGAAGATAGACGCCGGGCAAACAAAACTCCACGCCAAGCCGCCCCAATCCCAGTTGCAACAGGTGGCGAACAAAACCGGCAGGCACCAGACACCACCGCAACAGACCCGCCAATTCTCGCCATAGCAATTGGCTAGGGACATTGAGCGGTTCGGCAAATTGGAATTGTGGGACCTGACTCCCCTACGCGACAGTCGTCAGCCCCCACTTTCGCGTAAACTCCCTGCTGACATTCGCCCGCTTTTCGCCACAGCCCTCCTGACACCACTACTTCACCTCGCGCGTAACCCTGGGTCAGTCGCGGGTTGGCGCCTGTTACTCTTCATCCCGCGTCTCACCCTTCGTCTCCCTTCAACGGAGAAACCCGATTGGCCCGCTGTCAAGCAGCGACTTCGCCAATTTCTCAAAGGCGGATGGCAGCAACTGTATGACTTGGCAGTTACCGCAATCAATGGACCACACCCGCCTCGTCATACACCCGATGCCCTGGGTAAACGCGCCAGGGCCGAGGGCCTGACACGGAAAGGAAGCCTCCGCAGGGCGATCCTCGCCCTTGAGTCAACGCCAGTCGCTAACCCATCTGCAAACATCCTCGCCGCTCTCAAAGCAAAGCACCCCCCCGCGCCACCTGGAAACATCGATTGGAGCATCTTCGATTCCGTTCAGGCAGCATCGATCGACAGAGGGGACTTCGTAAAAATGTTGTGCTGCTGTGAGAACGGAGTGGGAGGGGGACCCTCTAGTATGACATTCGAACACCTCAGAGATGCAGCGCTCGCCAACGCAGGGGTTACCACACACCTTCATGCCCTCGTCAACACCATTGCAAGGCAACCTGCCAGACGAGATCTGCTCGCTATTGACCGCTAGCCGCCTCATAGCCCTAGCTAAAGCTGACGGAGGTACTCGACCGATAGCCGTAGGAGAATGCATCCTATGACTCGCCGCCAAGTCTGCCCTCTCAACCCTCTCCCAAGAATGCCAAGCGCATTTCCTCCCGTTACAGTACTGCGTGTCCGTCCAAGGCGGCAGCGAGGCGATTATCCACGCCGCGAGGGCCTTCACATGCGCAAACCCAGACGTGCTAATACTGCAGGCAGACCTAGCAAACGCCTTTAAATACATTAGCCGCGCATCAGTAGTCAGTGCACTTCACGACACCAAACTCCAGAGTATAATTCCCCTCGTCAAAACATCGTACGACAGGCCAGCCCAGCTGTTCCTAGACACGGGGTTCGGATGCGATGCACTGACCAGCGAAACAGGCGTGCGACAAGGAGACCCGCTCGGCCCGCTGCTCTTCGCCGCTGGGATCCACCCCACCCTGACCAAGACGGCAGCGGCTTACCCATCTGTTCTCTGCCTAGCATTTGCTGGCGACATCACATTCCTGGGCCCTGCTTCCGAGTGTGCAGAAGCTTTCGGCCACTTCACGGCAGGACTACGCAACGTGGGGCTGACCCACAACCCAGGGAAGTGCGCTGCATGGAGCGCAGCGGCCACTGATCCCCAGCTGCTGCGCGAGGGTGTCCCGCTATGCACAGAGGGGCTGAGAGTGCTGGGAAGCTTCATCGGCTCGACGGAAGGTGCAGCGGCCTTTCTACGCTCACAGCTCGAAGCAATGTCATCTCCGCTGCCTCACCTTGCAAACATGGACCCCCAAGTAGCGTCGCTGCTACTAACACGGTGCATCTCCAGGCGCATATCTTACCTAGCACGTACCACACCTCTATACCTGTTACCTGAAGCTGAGTGGTCAAGGTGGGGCCGGGCTCTGCTGTACACACTACTAGACGCTTGCGGGGTGCGTCACCCGAGGGGCGAGACAGAGGACAGGCGGATTTGGGACCAAGCCTCACTCCCACTGAGCCTGGGTGGCCTAGGCCTCGCCGACCCTGCAGTGGAGGGCCGATACAGTTTCCTGGCGAGTTTCGTGCAGGCCCACACACTCCTCGGCCCGTTGGGGGGCCAAGCAGGGGCCAACCTAACAGCAGCACTGGACAGCCCCGAAGCAGCTGACCACGGCCCCAAACTACAGAGGTGGATCCAGGACTGCAGGGACAGCCTCACGCAAGAGGCGAGGGAACTTATCTCGGCAGAGCATATTAAACCCAAGGGCCAGCTACGGTACCGCCTCGCTCTCCTAGTCCAAGGGGTCGGAGTGCCGCCCAGATTACAGCATCTAGGCAGATGGAGCTGAATCCCCTATCAGGCCACACCCAGCGCCTCATGTCCCTCACGGGATATGGGGCGGGAGATTGGCTCGTGGCAATTCCCTACATGCCAGCCCTGCGGTTATACCCCTGCCACTTCACGTTCGCCCTCCAGTTCCGGCTGGCATGCCACTCTCTGTGCCTGACTGCTGTGACTGCAGCGACAGAGTCGCCATTCTCGACAAAAGACTGCCAAATCACTTGCTTCCGTGCGGTACAGGGCACGGCCGGACCAACACTCACAACGAGCTACGCGACGAGTGCATCAGAATGGCGCAGGATGCAGGATTTGCTGTGCACAAGGAGTGCACTGCCTTCAGCCCGATGGACAACAAGAAGGCCGACTTGGCCTTTAGGGATGGGAGCTCGGGGGCGGTGTGGCTGGCAGATATCACAATCACGGATCCTATCAGCAAACGGGATGAAAGAGCAGGGAAGGGGAGGGGCTTGGCAGCACGGGAGGCAGCAGATAAGAAGATAGGCCTCTATCAAGGCAGGGCAGAGTTTGCTGGGTTCGTCCCCTTAGCAGTAGAAACCTACGGCTGCCCCTGTGAGGAAGTGCCCACCTTCCTGAAGCTGCTGGCAGATAAAGCTGCACGGAAAATCTTCAACGCGGACCCATCTACCTATCAGGCCGCGAAGATGCTCCACCAGTTTCGCCAGCGATGGTCTATTGCCCTTCAGATAGCTCAGGCAGTGAGCTTTTTCACAAAGCTGAACTTGGCTGCACAAGCAGAGAATCCCCCACTTGGGGGACCAGAGGGGGTGCTGAACCCCGGTGACTGCTTCACAACACTAGAAGCACCTTAAGGGGGGGGGGGGGAGGGGGGGAGGGAGGGTAAGGGTGTGTGTTTGCTTGACTAGGTGCTCCATTGTGATTAGGTTTTTGCTTGCTTGTCTTCGTGCTAGTTTACTCCTTCCCTAGAATCTGCATGCCTGTACCAGCCCCTGTTATCAATACAAAGGACCGTTTGAGTGAGTGAGAGAGAGAGAGAGAGAGAGAGAGAGAGAGAGAGAGAGAGAGAGAGAGAGAGAGAGAGAGAGAGCAAGGGCGTCAATTGCCATCTGCGGGGACGAGCGGTGGGGGCATAGAAGTAGAGAACGGCATTAGGCAAGCAACCACCGTGAACAACAACTCGCCAGCAGCTGCAGCGGTAGAAACAGCAGCGCAACAAACACCCCGCCGTGAAACACGGAGCACAACACGCGCCCAGGGGATTACCTGGGGCCAACTGCGAGGTCACCAGACAGTCACGGCTAACACGCCGTGGATCCCGGCGGGCCTAGCACCACAGGCCGGGCGAGGTGGACGAAACGCTGAGAATTTGGGTAGGGGAGGCGCAACGGCAGGCACGGGGAGAGGCGGAGCCCGCGGGGCAAGAGGCGGACGGAGAGGAGGTGGCGCAATCGTTGGTGAAAGAGAGGCGCTGCTGCGGTCGGGAACGTGGCAGGAACGCCACGATCGCCCCGAACAGGTGGCGGATCCCACGACTCGGAATGAAGCAAATGCTGAAAGGGGTGAGGACGGGGAGGATTATGAAGCTTCGGCCTTGATGCCCTCGGAAGAGATCTCATTGGAAGAGGAAGGAGAGGGGACAACGAGAGGAGAGCGAAGGCGACAGGAGGAGAGGAGAAATCCTCGGGAGGAGAGGGTGAACGGGGAAGCCCCAAATGAGGGACAGAGTGACTCAGGGGCCAGATCACCATCTGACTTGGCGGACGACTCTTCCATCTGGGAGCTGGTAGCCACGTGGGACAAATATCCACTCCAAAAAGGGGATCAACCCTTCGTGGTACGCAGAATGCCGCCCAAGATCCTGGAGAGCTACACGCTCTGCCTCCTGGCGCCACTCATTCGACTATCAAAAAATCTAGACTGCCCAGGTGCATGGGCGATCCTACAGTACTTACCGAGGCTGACACTACGTCCGGCACCTGAACCTGTTGAAGGCAGTCGGTGGACAGCAATAGAGCTGCGCCTGCACCAGTTCCAACTCGGCACCTGGCAGCCCCTCTACACCGACGCGTGTGTCATCCCCGACAATGAGAGTCCGGTACGACACCAACCGGAAGATGCAGGTGTATGCGCGAGGGCGGAGGGGTTGATAAGGAAAGGAAATATTTCCAAAGCGGTAGCAGCTTTACGAACCACACCGCTCGCAGAAGCCATGGCGGCAACATTGACGGCACTCCAAGCGAAACACCCCGCAGTTGAAACATCGCTACCAGGCCTGGTTACCAGGTTCAACCGCTCGACTCTCAGTGTGTCGGCGGACGAGCTTCGCGAAATTCTCAAGAAATGTCCGAACGGGGTTGGAGCAGGCCCATCAGGCACCTGCTTCGAACACCTCAAGGATCCAGCACTGGCAAACGGGGAGGTGCTTATCCTACTCGCTAAGACAGTGACTTACCTGCTGAGCACGTTCCAAACTCAATCGACCCGCGACCTGCTGCTGCCTTCACGGTTAATCGTCCTAGAAAAGCCAGGAGGAGGCGTCCGCCCTATCGCGATAGGGGAAGCTATACTCCATGTCGTGGCTAAGGCAGCATTGAGGGGTTTAACGGACAACATAAAAGAATTCTTCTTACCGGTGCAGTTTGGGGTGGCGATACCGGGAGGCGCTGAGTGTATCATACACTCCGTCAGATCACTACTAAGAGACGACGACACACGATTAGCGCTACATCTGGACATAGAAAACGCCTTCAACAGCGTCGAACGGGCGGCTTTCTTCAACGCTCTCTCCCAGTCCAGTTTGCTGCAGCTCATGCCTCTCGTCACAACACTACGGGGCACCTTCGTCTCTCTTGGTAGATGAGCGTCTAGGGGTGAACCATATCCTCTCGTCACGGGGTGTGCGTCAAGGGGACCCGCTCGGCCCACTACTCTTCGCGGCTGCGATTCAACCGTGCCTTCTTAGCACGGCAACCTTCTTACCAGAAGTCGCCATAGTAGCCTACGCTGACGACATAACGATAGTGGGGCCGAAGGAGGCCTGCTACGAGGCCTTTGGGGCCATCAGAAGGGAGATGGCAACCCTCGGCCTCCGCTGCAACGTCGCAAAATCATCAGCATGGGGACAAACCCTCGAGGACGACGACGGCACGGCACCTGCTATCGGCCTGCAGCAGACGCAGACGGGATTCGGGTTCTAGGCAGCCCAGTCGGCTCGCCTGTTTTTTGCACCGCCCAAGCACAGTCGAGGCTAGATGAGGTGTCGGCCCCATTACCTCTGGTGGCGCAGCTCCACCTGCAGATCGCGATGCTCATCCTCACGAGGAGCATATCCCGCCGAATCTCCTACCTGCTGAGGACGACACCGGCGGAAGAATTGGAGAGAGAGGGGTGGAGGGGCTGGAGTGAAACACTGATGGCAGCAGAACTAGCAGCGGCTAAGCTTCGGGTACCCCCAAACGAGCTGGAGAGGAGTCTGTTGTGGCGCCAGGGAACTCTACCGGTCAGGTTGGGGGGATTGGGGATTATTGACCCCGTCTCAGAGGCACCTGCCGCCTACATTGCCTCGGTCACAGTGGTGCAGCAACTCTTACGGCAGATGAACCTACCTGAGGCCTACCTCTTGAGCAGGGCGGTCGAGCTGCTGAACCACGAGTGGACCCCTGACCCACCTGGTATAAACCCCCTGACACCACTGGAAGCTGGGCTGCCCATAGCTGCACGGGCGGCACTACACACCTACAGGGAGCAGCCGGCAGGGCAAGGGAACCTTCAACTGACCCTGTCTCGCCACATCAACGAGACAAGGGCAGCGGAGCTGTTGGCTGACACGATAGAGGACCACCCAGGGAAGGACCGGGGGCACGTAGTGCGGCTCATCAGCTTGCAAGGGGTGGGAGCGGGGGACTGGCTCCATGCCATCCCAACGAGATCTGACCTTACATTTGCCCCTGGTCAGTACTTGTTGGCACTTGGCTTCCGCCTCGGCATGGCCCTTCCAGTCACAGTTGCCTGCCCATGCAAGCGTGCCAACACAGCAATCACCGACACGAGCCTAGCAAACCACCTCTTCAGGTGTGGTTACGGGGGAGATGTCATCCGCACGCACAATGCCCTAGTGTTCGCTCTGCTCCGGATGGCAAAGGAGGCCGACTTCACCGTTTTCCATGAAACTACTGCCTTCTCCCCACCGGTGATCAGGAAGAGAGGTGATCTTGCTATTCGTGACAAGGAGTCGAATGAGACATGGGTCACCGACGTGACAGTGACGGATCCAGTGCTGCAGTGCCGCGACAAGGGAAGCGTGCTTGGAAGCCTCCTGGATGGGCGGCAAGGGAAGCCTCGGAGAGGAAGAGGTGGTCCGTGGCGCTGCAGAGGGCCCAGTCAGTGGGGTTCCTCATGAAGACGTGTCAAGCCACTATGGCAGAGCACCCACCTGTTGGGGGGATGCAGCAGGAGCTCCACCTGGGTGATTGCCTCACCGTGATTGAACCTCTGGTGGAGGTTTAGGGAAAGGTGACACAAGTGTTGGTTAGGATGTGTGGTAGTATGTTTCTTAGTGTGCCCATAGGCTTGTCTAATCTTTGTCATCTTACTTGCATGCTTGTACCTTGCTGCTATATCAATACACGGACCATTAGAGAGAGAGAGAGAGAGAGAGAGAGAGAGAGAGAGAGAGAGAGAGAGAGAGAGAGAGAGAGAGAGAGAGAGAGAGAGAGATAGAGAGAGAGAGAGAGAGAGAGAGAGAGAGAGAGAGAGAGAGAGAGAGAGAGAGAGAGAGAGGCGCACTACCGATGGCGGGAAGTGGAAAGCAACAAGCAGTAATTATCACTAACACAAAGATACATCATGCTGCAGTAGGTCTGCCCACAGAAGAAGGGCCAGGTAAGTAGAACAAGGGGAGGGATGGGGAACAACAAGACACAGACCAAAGCCCCGAAAGTGCAGTGGGCTACACGCGGTTCAACACGTAAAACCGCCGGCGAATCCAGCGGAGCAAGGACTCGAGCGCGGGCACAAGCTGGAGGGGAGCCTCTTCGGCAGCCATGGCGACCCGGCGGAAAGCAGTCGCGCCCGGCCCCTCGTGCTCGTCAGGGTGCTCGGACTCTAGAGGCAGGCGGAGGAGGCGCCACAAACCCTGAGCTGCAGCTTCATGGACATGGCCCTGCTGGCTCTCGGTCAGCTGAGGATCCCAAGATGCGAGATTCCGCTCCTCAAGACCGGCATGCAGCTGCTCCAGCACCGTTGCCACGTGAGACAGGCACTCACCAACCCCGACCATCCGCCGCTCCCAGCGGAGGACATGAAGGACAAAGTCGGATTGGATGTCCCACTCCCGGCCCCATAGAGTCCCCGGCTGCGGAGGAGACTCCCACATCTCCCCGTTCCACCACCGTTCGTCGTCCTCTGGATCAGGGGCGTCAGGAGAAAGATCGGGAGACCGCGATCGAGGAGGAGGGAAACGAGCAACAGGAGCGGGGTCGAGAGGAACAAGAGGCTGCTGTCGCTGAGGAAGCTCCACCGACGGAACAGCGGAAGGCACGGGGACAACGGAAGATGCTGCTATCGGCGGCAGGGCAGGAGCAGGAGGCACGAGAGGTGCCACAGCAGCCCGAGCCGTCAACAGAGAGGGCAGAGGAGGAGGACACGGAGAGGAGGGAACCGACGGTGGCGCCGACGATGGCGGAGACGGCTGGGACAGTTGGGGGGACGACGCCACAGGGCCAGACAAATGCTGCTGAGACTACTGTTGAGACGTCAACGTGGAAGTTGCTGGGACTGTTGCTGGGAGTGTTGCTGGGACGCCGGAAGCGGCGGCTGCTGGAGAAGCGGGCGGATTATCTGTCGCTGGAGAGCAGGTGGGGGGCGAGGCGGGCAACGACAACGAAAGGACTCACCGCGGGCCCTCAGATGAGGGTGAGCCCGCCCGCGAGGCGACCGATAGATCGGTTCCTGAGGACGGGCAGGGCCTCCGCCCACATCGGCTTCGACCAGGGCAGCGGCGGCTCGGAGCAGAGCTGGAGCCAGCCCGCCCTGGGCTCTGGCGGGCTGGGAGCGACAGATTGACCCATCGAGCGCTCCTGTCGTGGCGGATGGCGCCGATTGCCCATCATCTACACGTCGTCCAGTAGCACAGGAGGACGACAAGGCGGGTCAACCCCTTGCGGATCCGGCCGAGGGGAGGGTTTTGAGGAGGAGACGGCGAGAGCGATAGCAACTACGGAGCGAAGGCGCCGGACGGGCACAAGCCGGCAGAGAACCTTGCAGGAGCAGGCAGACCAACGGGCGTCAGGTCAGTAGCCGCGAAACGTGGCGCCAAGGGCGGATGGCAGGAGCCGGGGGAGAGGCCGGGGCAGGGGAGGGGCCTGGGAGACCTGGTGAGATCCGTGGCGAGAGAGAAAGCCAGATCTGGTCACTGGCGCAAAGGCACAGGAGGCAGGAGGAACAGGTTGAAGGACCAATGAATGACCCAGGAGAGGAGAGTGGGTCAGAATATATGGCTGAGCGGGAGGCGGAATCCGAGGAGGTCTCAGTTGAGGCAGAAGAAGGGGTACCCACTGGGGTTGGACAAGGACGTGGACGGGTGCGGGATGCCAGGGATTCAACGGTGGAGGTGGGAAAATTAGGGGGTCGGCAAGCCAATGAGGCTGCCAGCAAGGAGCGATCACCACAGGACATCGCGGATGACGAGGACACGTGGCAGCGGGTGGAAGATTGGGATCTGGGACCACTCCGCGCCAGTTCCCAGCCCTTCTTGGTTAGGAAGCTTCCTCCCGAAATCCTGAAAGCCTTCAGTCACCTCCTCAACACCTAGAGCTGCAGGAACTACTGCTCCCAGCCAGATTAATAGCGTTGGAAAAACCTGGAGGTGGCGTGAGACCCATAGCGATAGGTGAGGCGATACTCCGAATAACAGCCAAGGCGGCACTTAAGGAGCTGTCTAGGGAGATCCGCGCTCACTTCTTACCGGTGCAATTCGGTGTCGCCGTACCGGGGGGGGCAGAATGCATCATACATACAGCACGCACGCTCCTTGCAGAAGACCCCTCGAGGGTAGCCCTCCAGCTATATATCGAGAATGCGTTCAACTCCGTGGAACGGGGGTGCTTCCTCTCGTCGCTGCGGCGGACCGGCCTGAACACGCTACTCCCGTTAGTTCGCACGCTCTACGGCAAGCCGTCAAAGCTCCTCATGGACAGTGGATTCGAAGCGTCGTCTATCGACAGCGCACGAGGGGTGCGCCAGGGGGACCCGCTCTGACCCATGCTTTTCACGGCGGCCATCCAACCGGCACAGCTAACGGCGGCAGAAGCAGTTCCCACCGTGACCGTGATGGCGTATGCAGACGACATCACAAAAATAGGTGATCCGTCGGAGGCAACGCGAGCACTGAACATGATATGCGGCGAACTGAGGGGATACGGCCTACGGTGCAACCTAGCCAAGTCCTCTGCATAGAGCCCCTCGGGAAACACAGGAAACTTACCGGAATGACTAGTAGCAGCGGTGGACGGCATAAAGGTGCTAGGGAGCCCAATCGGCACGGCGGCATACTGCAAGCAGATCGTGGGGACGACGCTGGAGTGAACGGACGCACCACTCAGCCTCATTAACAATCTACACCCGCAACACGCCATGCTACTGCTGTCGCGATGCATCTCCCGCAGGATTTCCTACCTGCTGCGAACGACACCCGCGGACATGCTTCCCCTCCGGGTTTGGAGGGAGTGGAGCAAGAGACTCCTCTGGACAGCCCTCAAGGCGGCCCACCTGCACACACCGTCCAAGGAGCTGGAGCAAAGCCTCGTGTGGAGGCAAGCGACACTACCGATAGCCCTAGGGGAGCTAGGACTTGTAGACCCGCTATCGGAGGCACCTGCAGCGTACTTGGCTTTGTTGAACGCAGCGCAGATCCTCCTGCAGCAAGCCTCCGCCACGCCCTACCACCCACTGCAGCGCGTGGCGGCACTTGTTTCTCCACAAGGGGAAGGAGCGGCGGTTGAAGGGGGAACAACACTACGGGACATACGGGGCAGACTACCAGAAGCAGCGCAGGAGGTGCTAAGAGAGTTCGGCCAGAAAGGAGTTGGGGGGAGTTATCTGCAGAAATTGCTCTCGAACCACATCAACCTGGACCGGGCGGGTGAGCTGGTGGGCGATACAAGTATAGACAAACCAGGGGAGGACAACGGCCATGTTATCCGCCTGATAAGCCTGCAAGGGACGGGTGCAGGGGACTGGCTCCACGCAATCCCCACGCGTGCTGACCTGACATTCTCGCCAGGGCAATTTGCAATGGCCCTAGGCTTCCGCCTGGGACTGACCCTAGCGGTGACAGGTAACTGCCCATGCCAGGGGGAACGGTCTATGATAGGCGACCGTAGCCTCCCAAACCACCTGTTGCGGTGCGCTTAGGGGAGGGATAGGACAAACACGCACAACTCCTTAGTGTATGCTGCACTACGGATGGCTAGGGAGGCCGACTACATGACCATGCATGAGACCGCCGTCTTCTCGCAAATAGTCAACCCTAACCGAGCAGACTTGGTCATCAAGGAAAGGGAGTCGGCCGAAACCTGGGTGACAGACGTCACAGTGACCGACCCGGTACTGCAGCGCCGTGACACCCGGGCGGTAAAACGACCTAGCTGGGCAGCGGAGGATGCGGCAAGGGGGAAAAGGGCATTGTTCGAGGGCCGCCCAAAGTTTGTGGGTGTGTTCGGGTTGGCGGTAGAGACCTATGGGGCCTTAGCACAAGACACCCAAAGGTTCCTCCGCGTCCTGGGCACCCAGGCTGCCAAGAAAAACATTAGGCAGGGGAGGCTCACCACGGTGGCCTCCAAGCTTACAGCACACTATCGACAACGCTGGTCGGTGATGCTGCAGCACAGCCAGGCAAACACCTTCCTGGCAAAGTCCAACAGGGCGACAGAGCGTTCGTTCCCCCAGGCCCCTGCCGACCCGTGGGGACCCCGCCTAGGGGACCTCTGGCAGGTCCTTGAGGACGACCTGGACTGGGGGTCGCCCTTGGATGTGTAAGGGGCTGATGTAAGGGCTCCTAGACAGGGGCAGCAGGTCCTAGGTAGGCCCTCCCCTACCACGGCCAGGGTACACGTCACCTCACCTTCTCGTCGGGACAGTTTGCAGTGGCGCTAGGTTTCCGCTTGGGACTGCCCCTAGCGGTGACAGAACAGTGCCCCTGCAAAGGGAGACGGTCGGCCATCAATGACAGGAGTCTCCCCAACCATCTGCTGCGGTGTGCGGACGAGGGGGACAGGACAAACACCCACAACGCCCTAGTGTACACGGCGCTGCGAATGGCACAGGAAGCGGACTACCGGACCCTACACGAGACAGCGGTCTTCTCGCCCATAATTAACCGAATGCGAGCGGACCTCATCATCCGTGACAAGGAGTCATCCGAGTCCTGGGTCACGGACGTCACGGTGACTGACCCGGTCCTGCAAAGGCGTGACAAGAGGGCAGTCAAACCTCCAGGATGGGCGGTAGAGGATGCAGCAAGGGCCAAGCGGGGGTTGTATGAGGCCAGGCCGGGATTTGTGGGGGTGTTTGGCTTGGCGGTAGAGACCTATGGGGCCTTGGCAAAGGACACCCAAAGGTTCCTCCGCCTTCTTGGGACCCACGCGGCCAAGAAGAAGCACAAGGCAGGGGAGGCTCACCTCAGTTGCCTCCAAGCTCACAGCACACTACCGACAGCGCTGGTCAGTGATGCTACAGCGCTGCCAGGCAAACGCCCTGATGGCGAAGTCCAACAGGGCGGTTGAGGCGGCGTTCCCACTGGCAGCAATCGACCCGTGGGAACCCTGCCTTAGGGACTTGTGGCAGGTCCTTGAGGACGACCTGGCACAGGTGGCGGACCTGGCAGAGTAGAAGGCCAGGATAACTGCCAGGGTGCCCACCACAAGGAGCCCCCCCCCCCTCCTCCCCAGCCGGCAGCCATAGGGTGACAGAATGGGGCCCTGTGCAATCTCATGCAAGAAGCTTGCTTATGTATTGCCATGTATGTGTCAGACCTGCTAGGATGCTTGCATGCCTAGGTTAGCTTGATTGCCAGAACATGCCACTGCCTTGCCTGTACCCTATGAACCATATTAATACAGGACTGCTTGAGAGAGAGAGAGAGAGAGAGAGAGAGAGAGAGAGAGAGAGAGAGAGAGAGAGAGAGAGAGAGAGAGAGAGAGAGAGAGAGAGAGAGGGAGAGAGATAGAGGGAGAGAGAGAGAGAGAGAGGGGGAGAGAGAGAGAGAGAGCGAGAGAGAGAGAGAGAGGAAGGGAGAGAGAGAGAGAGAGAGAGAGGGAGAGAGAGAGAGAGAGAGAGGGGGAGAGAGAGAGAGAGAGATAGAGAGAGAGAGAGCAAGAGAGAGAGAGAGAGAGAGAGAGAGAGAGAGAGAGAGAGAGAGAGAGAGAGAGAGAGAGAGAGAGAGAGACCATCACGATCCCTGGCGCCAATCACGATCCCTGGCGCCAGGGGGTCGACGAGATTAGCGGGATCGACGGGGCCAGCGGGGTCGCCACGGGGCCAGCGGGGTCGACGGGGCTAGCGGGAGCGATGGGGCTAGCATGGCGCGACGGGGCGAGCAGGGCGCGACGGGGCTAGCGAGGTGGCGCCATTAGATGAAGCAAGCTTCGGATCGCCATGCTCTTGATACAATTTCAAAATAGCTCTTCGGAGGTGAGGCTTAGGAGTTTTGTCAGAGAAGAGAAGAGGACGACATGCTTTCACTATCGAGAGGAGAGAAATTTTTCAGGCAAAGGCAAGGCAAGATCGAGGCAAAGGTGCATACGGTGTGGTCTGCTACCATATAAATAAATAATTTTGTTTGGTATAGCGCACGAAATACGAGTTATTTGGTTTAAGAATGCTCATGTCGTGCTCTAACAATTTTCACTTATAACAATTCAGGTTCTCGTTTGTGCTATAACATAATTTTCTCAAGTAACATTCTAGCATGAAACATGTTTGGTTATAGAAGTTAGGATGTCATCTCTGAGCTGTTCTGAGCCTCCACTAACGTAGACACCTTTTGATTGGTGGTAGTAAATTGGAAACGACACGTGGTAGAAAACGACACGTTAAACAGCGGATATCACTTGCTTACGTGGAGAGCCTTGGGGAACTTAGGGGGATGAACATTCAGTGAAGGCACTCGAAGGAATCGTTGGCCTGTGTGGAGGCATGTGAAGGTCATCCAGGCTCGGCGCCGCGTGCCTCTTTCCCGAGCTATGAGCCACAGGCTATTCTGAACCACAGGCTTGCCTCATAGCTGCCTCCTTTCCAATTTCGGCCACATCAGGTCCTCCCCCGTATTTTCATTCCTTGAGTATTATTTTCATTTTGGGTTAATTCTGCAAGGCCTATCATTGCTGCAGCTTTAGCAAGCAATTTCTGTATCCGAATGTGTATGTCATGAGTGCCCCCACAGAGATGGGTAAACTCGTTCCTGAAACTACAAGCCAAATTATGCTTGGTCTTGGAGCACGGACCTTCAGTCACACGAGGGACGAGCCTTTGACTGTTTGAGCCCGAACCACATATTCCGAGCCCGAAGCAACCACCAAAACAAGCCTGGCACAAACCACAGCGCAGGGTTCAGGGAGCCTGCTCGTTGAGGCTACACCGCTCCCACTACAAATGCAAGCGCAAACAGCCTTGTAGTTTTACAAGCTCTACCTCTCTTTGAAACTTCGCTTTGGCTTGGAAGCTTATTCCCCACTCCAAGCCTCCGACTTTGTCCTGCTGTTACACACGCTCGCCAAAATGCTCCACAACATCGTCCACGGTGGCAACGACGACCATGTCGTGGAGTCCGTCTTCGCCTCTCGCTACACTTCGACAGCCGTTCCCAAGTATTTTCCGTTATAACCCGTAACTCTCAAATATACATTCCCCCCCACTTTCCTCGCTCACCGTTTGCTACTGCTATCACATTATGTAAAAATGACTAAACGTGCGATCTTCTTTGCAGGTATCGGATGGGCCAGGACGGCATTCCTAAGGAGGCGGCGTATCAGATGATTCACGACGAGCTGCTGCTGGATTGCAACCCGCGCCTCAACCTCGCGTCCTTCGTCACCACGTGGATGGAGCCGGAATGCGACCAACTCATTATGGAGTCACTCAATAAGAACTACATCGACATTGAGGAATACCCCATCACCAATGACCTCCAGGTATGTCCCTCTGCAGCTTCCGGGACCATCATCTCTTCTACGCAGTTGATATAAAAGGTGAAAATACCCGTCTCTCCTGAATGAACTTGGCAGGAGCGGTGCGTGAACATCATCGCGAATCTCTTCCACGCGCCGCTGGGCGAGTCGGAGGGCGCGGTGGGCGTGGGCACGGTCATCGCGGAAAAGGCAAGTGTCGAAAGTGACTTATTTGTGACTTTTCCGTCACTTCCCCGTATACGAAAATTCGGTAGAAAAAGGTGATGGTTGGAAGTACCAGGCTCACGTCACTTGCAATGTCACGAAATTGTGACATTTCCGTGACTTTGAAGTCACAATGACGTCACATTGCAGTGACTGGCGACGTGACGTTCTCGTAACTTTTTTGTTACAATGCCACGTGGACAAACCGCGTTACATCTTTCTAGATGTTTTTGCCAGGTGTCCTTGTTGATGATTGGTCGAAATGAACCAATCGAATGTCAACTTAGGGTGTGCCCAAACGTGATTTCATTGGCTAGCGATTCTGAATAGCGACCGCATGTCGCACACGAAACACAGCATCGCATTGCGCACGTCGAAATTCCAGATCACCACAACCGGGACTTCCATTGGCGTTTTCTTTTTTTAATTTCCAATATTTAACAAGTACATACACTGGGAGTGCAACACAAGCCTACGACTGCACAACCGTCCATATGGACACATAACGACGGAGCCCTATGGACACACATAGACACAACTGTCTGCACAACCGCACGTCCATATGGACACATAGCGACTGAGCTCCTAAGACAAATGGACACAACCCTTTGCACTACGGTTAGGTGCTTCCATAAAATAGGCCGTTCGTTATGAAACCTGCAATAAGGACAGCATCAACAAATCGTGACACGTGAGAAAAAAACCATAACCACCAAAGTCTTACCGAAAACGCACACATACGAACCTCTATCCGCGCTAGCACATCCACCTGCACTGCACCGCACATGCACGCGAAAAGTACACGATACGCGTTAGCGACGATCGCGCTAAGATCACTCCGTCTCCCTCACCTGGCTGCGATCTCGCTGCTGCTTGCGCATTGCCACACAAAAGTAAATGCACATAGCAATCATATCGTGAGCGGAATCATCGAAACAAGGAAATGGCGACTCACCAGCACTGTCGTCGCCATCGGCTGCCCGGGTGGCGGCAGCATGTCGCCAGTCGCGCGGACGTTAGCGCGGACGTAGATCTGACGCGCCCCTAGAAAAACTCGGGGGAATGGAGGTGGGAAGAGAGGGCAGAAGCCGAGGGGGATAGATGCCTAACGAGATCTGTAGTTCGCTAAGGCGACACTACGATTATTGCTGCGTGTGGAATCAAATCAGGCGACACTAGCGACTCGGCACTCACCGAATCTGTCGTATGAGGCGACGCTCGGCGGCTTCCCTTTGCGAAGCGTGCAGTGGTTCGTCATGGTGATGCAGAGATTAACCACTGGGGAGAGGGGGGGGGGAGGAGGGAGAATGGGAGATATAATTAACCACTGGGGAGGGGGAGGGAGGGGGGGGGGGGGGGGGGGGGGGAGGCGTGCGGAGGTTCCTTCCGGTGACGTGAGATGAACTACAAGGGTGGGAGGATGGGAGGGCAGGGTGGAAGCAAAGGGGGGTAGATTTAGAGTGAGATTTGCATTTGCAAATAGCTTCAGAACTCAGTCGTTAATACCCGAAGTGTATGGACCAAGAATGAACGGTAGCTTCAAAAGTTGCTAGCAGGGGAATGGGGATTGTTTAATTTCTTGAAGGCGTCGCGAATGTAAGTAGGTAACATAGAGCACGTGGGATGCCTATTTCTTCCGGAGTAATGAGAGTAGGTATGAGGATACCTGAGATCCTACAAACTGCTGAGAACGTTTGAAAGAAAGTTGGAGGCAGAAAGCATTTCTACGGCATAAGAGAGTGGGACGGGGGGTAGGAGAAAGGGGGGTTGAGAGTCGTTTGAGGTTGCGCCTGCTGATGTGTGGATAAGGGAGGCTGGTGTGCGTTGATTGTGATTTTGTGCACTGCAACGATTGGTTGGAATCAGCGCTGGTGTCCAGATGAATGAACGTGAGGTTAGCTTGGAGGGGTGTAGTCAATGACGTGGAGCATCTGTGTTGGGAGGTGGTGTTGGGCCGAACGCGGATTGGTTGGTACACCCACGTCAGTTCGTAATATGACGCATGAGCACAGCAATCATCGTTCATTTTCATGTGTGCGAATCTCACGACTTTCGTGGCCCTGGTTAATCTTGTCGTTATACTTCGCGGATGCTGACGTTTTCCTAATAACTGTTTCGTGGCTTGGGTTCATGACGTCCTGCGGAAGTGCCTCCAAAGCACCGCTTGGAAACGCTTTCAACCGTATGCGAACCCAACCCTGCTTGAAATGCGACTTTCGTGTTCATGTTACATGCGCAAAATCATTGTGCACGCGAATTCGTGCACCAATTGAAGTAGTTCTGGACGGGGCGCACATTGCGACTCGACCAGAATTTTCGATTCGTGAAATGAAATGGGCGGTGCGAGAGGCTGGGAGGGTGGGCATTTTGTGACTTTTGCGTCACTGGTGTTTTGGGATCTTTTGTGTACTGTCTGGGACTTTTTGTACGTTTTTCCGTCACAAAACCTCCGGACCTCAAAATTGGGCCCCAACCTTTTCCGCGATGGTGGGGTCGTCGGAGGCCATCATGCTGGCGGGGCTCGCCTTCAAGCGCCAGTGGCAGAACAGGCGCAAGGCGCAGGGCAAGCCGTACGACAAGCCCAACTTCGTTTGCGGCTCGGAAGTGCAGGTGGGTCATTTCGCTGCGCCAGACGAGGTAATTTCTCCTCAAGCCGTCTTGTGTTTCGACTCTCTTGTCAACGATCGTGGAAGCAGTACGAGTAAACTGTTCCGTAATTAACAACTTTAATACGCTCGAGTCGCTTTTTTATCGATTGGTGGATTAGCGCCATGTGGAGCTGATGATGCGCGTGTTGCGTGCCGCAGGTGTGCTGGGAGAAATTTTCCAACTACTTCGAAGTGGAGACGCGGTTCGTGAACGTGAAGGAAGGGTCGTTCGTGATGGACCCTCACGAAGCCGTGGAGGCCGTCGACGAAAACACTATCTGCGTTGCGGGCATTCTCGGGTCCACCTATAACGGGGAATTCGAGAACATCAAGCTTCTCAACGACCTTCTCGAGGAGAAAAATGCCAAGACCGGGTAAGATCATGCACGGCGCTCGCCTAACTGGTCATGAGTTACCACTGAAAAGGGCAATCAACTTGATTGGCTGGCGCGCACAATCACGCTCCGCCGCGCTGATTAGTCTTCGTGCTTCCTCGGACCCGTCGCCCTCGACGGCGTCCCTCCAATCACATGATCGCGGCAGGTGGGACACGCCGATCCACGTGGACGCGGCGAGCGGCGGGTTCGTGGCGTCGTTCCTCTTCCCGGACCTGGAGTGGGACTTCCGGCTGCCGCTCGTCAAGTCCATCAACGTGAGCGGGCACAAGTTCGGGCTCGTGTACCCGGGCGTCGGGTGGGTGGTGTGGCGCTCCAAGGTGGACCTCCCGGAAGATCTCGTGTTCCATGTCAACTACCTGGGCGCCGACCAGCCCACCTTCACGCTCAACTTCTCCAAAGGTGCGCGCGGTTGCACTGCTGTCACTAATTCTTGATGGGGGACGGGCGGGTATAAATCGGGCATTCAGAAAAGTAGTACCAAGCGGTTTTGGGATTAAAACCCGGGTCTCATATTTCCTAGTGTATTACACTTGGTTGGGCTAAAGCGCCTGTGATTGGGTAACGATAGGCGAGATTTGTGACGAGCAGTTTGGAAAACACAGACGACACCTCAGTTCGTCTACGCAAAAACCAAACGAGCCCCTCAGGCATGGAAAGCTCCCACACCTAAAAAACAGATCCGGCAGTTCCCTGCGACCAACTGAAACGACAAGACGCAATTCGCCCACGTTCACCAGGAAAAGCAGAGCAAAACTCTCACCTGTCAGTCTTACAACCTCCGCTTAGGATGGTTCCTACGTATGTACCTCCACATCAAGATGCTGGCCTTAGTCGCTAAAACAGTTATATTAGAGACCATTTCGGACCAGATAACAGGGGACTTGCGAACAAATTCTGGTTGCGGATAACGCACTAATTGGCGACTAAGGAATCGTCCAATGTCGGGAACGGTCGCAACGCCATCGCTTGTTACGAGGTAGCCAGTCCGTAACATTCCGAAATGCGTTCTTACTCTTCTATTTACAGCTGTGGAACCCGGAGAGGTGATGTCGCATTTCAGAATGCGCTCGGGTCGTCCATCTACGACAAGCGCGATTGCGTGAAAGGTCTGTGTGCGAGTGGCATGTGTGTGGGGTGTGTGTGAAAGCTTGTGTGCGTGCGAACGTGCGTGTGTGCGTGCGCGAGCGTGCGCGTGCGTGCGTGCGTGCGCTTGCGCGTGCGCGTGCGGCGTGCGTGTGTGCGCGTGTGCGTGCACGTTTGCGTGCGCGTACGCGTGCGTGCGTGCATGCGTGCGTGCGCGCGCGTGCGTGCGTGCGTGCGTGCGTGCTTGCGTGCACGTGCGTGAGAGCAAGCGTGCATGCGTGCGTGCGTGCGCGTGCGTGCGTGCGTGCGGGTGTGCACCTGTTTGTATTCTTATCATTCAGTGCATGTGCATAAAAATGCACAAGTCATTTTGCCACACGTCCCTCAGCCTTCACATCCCGGTGCTCACACCTCCCTTTCCCCCAACTGCCATCTGCGCCTCGAGACACAACACACATCCTTCCCTCTCTCCCTTCCCTCTCTCCCTTTCCTCTCTCCCATTCACCCTCTCCCCTTCCCTCTCTCCCCTTCCCTCTCTCCCCTTCCTCTCTCCCCTTCACCCTCTCCCCTTCCCTCTCTCCCCTTCCCTCTCTCCCTTTCCTCTCTCCCCTTCACCCTCTCCCTTTCCCTCTCTCCCCTTCCTCTCCCTGTTAACTCACCCTCACCCCCTCCCCTACCAACTTTCCTAATGTCTGCAGCAAGGCTTGCTTGCCAGCCAGCCCTCGCCACGCGCTCACCCTGCTAGCTTTTCTGCCCGAACTGAGGTGTATGTAAGCAGGGGAAGGTGAGGAGGGTGTGGGTGTGGGCGATGGTGAGAGAGGGGAGGGGGAGTGGGAGTAGGAGGTGGGGAGGTTGAGTGCGTGTTTAGGGCCATGAGTGTGTAGAGCCCTTTCCTTCTCCATCTGCCCTCCTTTTTTTTCATTTCCCCTACTATGCCTTCCCATCTCCTGTCCCTTCCCTTCTCATCCCCTCCCATTCTTCTCATTTGCCCTCCCTTCCTTCCCATCTTGCGTGCCAGCCTCCCTTCCTTGCATCACCCCTACCCTCTTTTGCTCTCCCCGTTCCCCCTTTTTACCACCTTTCTCTTCCTTCACATCTCAACTGCCCTTTTTCTCATCCCTGGAGCCTTCCTTCCTCCCGTCACCTCTCCCTTTGTTCCAGTTACAAGCAGGACTAAGCTAGTCCCAGGCGAGCCTGGCGGAACGGAAGGGACAGGCAAGCAGCAGATGCACGGCCAGATGCACGAAGGCGAGATAGGCGCTAGAGGAGAGATGTACCCCGTATCTTCAAGATATTGCACAAGTGTATACATTCAATAAGTTCTTTAGGTCAGTGCTGTGCTCAATTGCTACAAACTAAATGGATGCATTGAAACCATCTGAGCATCAAGTGTAATATGCTATGAAAGACAAGAGACTAGGCGGGTTTGGCAAGCCTACTTTGCCAACAACTGAGTTTTGAATCTACGCATTAGTCACAAAACTAAGGATGAACTGGTTCTTTTTGGCGCCATGCTGGAACAAGCACATCAACAGGGGGGAGAAAGGGGGGAAGCAGAGGGGAGACAAGTGGGAAAACAGAGCTGAGGCATGGGAGGAAAGCGAGGGGAGGCATGGCATGGGGAAAGAAAGGAGGCAGGGAGGAATTGGGGAAGTGATTGCTTGGCGGAATAGTGTGTGAAAGCAGGGGAAAAAGGTGAAAGGGTTGGCGAAGTGTTGGCTTCATGGGAGGAGCTGGTAGCACGGGATGAGAGGTGACAGCAGAGGGGGAAGGGAGGTGGTAGCACGGGATGAGAGGTGACAGCAGAGGGGGAAGGGAGGTGGTAGCACGGGATGAGAGGTGACAGCAGAGGGGGAAGGGAGGTGGTAGCACGGGATGAGAGGTGACAGCAGAGGGGGAAGGGAGGTGGTATCACGGGATGAGAGGTGACAGCAGAGGGGGAAGGGAGGTGGTAGCACGGGATGAGAGGTGACAGCAGAGGGGGAAGGGAGGTGGTATCACGGGATGAGAGGTGACAGCAGAGGGGGAAGGGAGGTGGTAGCAGAAAGAGAAAAGAAGGTGATAGCAGAGGGGGAGGGAAAGGGGGATGAGGGAAGGGAAGGGGGATGGGGGAAGGGAAGGGGGATGGGGAAAGGGAAAGGAGGATGCAGGGAAGGGATGGGGGATGGGTAAAGGGAATGGGGGATGGGGGAAGGGAAAGGAGGGTGTGGGGAAGGTAAAGGGGATGTGGTAAGAGAAGGGGGATGGGGGAAGGGAAGGGGGATGGGGGAAGGGAAGGGGGATAGGGAAAGAGAAGGGGATGGGGAAAGGGTAGGCGGATGGGGAAAGGGAAAGGGGATGCGGGAAGGGAAGGGGGATGGGGAAAGAGAAGGGGGATGGGGAAAGAGAAGGGGGATGGGGAAAGAGAAGGGGGATGGGGAAAGAGAAGGGGGATGGGGAAAGAGAAGGGGGATGGGGGAGGGGAAGGCGGATGGGGTTAGGGAAAGGGGATGTGGGAAGGGAAAGGGGTATGGGGATCGGCGCGTCTCCTACGTTTCCTCCCGCCAGTCCCGTCCCGCTCCGTCGCGTTCCCTCCCGCTCCGTCCCGTCATACATCCCGTCCCATCCCGTCCCATCCCGTCCCGTCATGTCCCGTCCCATCCCGTTCCGTCATGTCCCGTCCCGTCCCGTCCCGTCCCCTCTCGTCTCGTTTCCTTCCCGTCCCGTCCCGTCCCGTCCCGTCCCGTCCTTTCCCGTCGCGTCCCCTCACGTCCCATCAGGTCCCCCCCGTTCCCGTCCCGTCCCGTCGTGTCCAGTAGCGTCCCCTCCTGTCCTCTCCTCTCCTCTCCACTTCTCTCCTCTCCACTCCTGGTTGCATCCCACAGTATCCCTTCCTACCCTTTCCGGCTCCCCTTCACGCACCGTCCCACCCCTCCCCTTCTCGTCGCATCCCGGAGGTCCTTCTCACCCCTTACCTCCCTTCCAGTCCCTTCCCTCCCAACCGTCCCGCCACACCCCTTCGCGACTCTCCCCTTACCCTCGCATCACGCCCATCCCTTTCTCCTCGCTTCCAGCCATGTCGCGTCGCTTCCTGTAATGTCGCGTCGCTGCTTATCGAGTCCTAACCCTCGCCTTTCAGCCGCGTCGCTGCTTATCCAGTCCTAACCCTCGCCTTTCCGTCGCGTCGCTTCCTATCTCGTCCTAACCCTCGCCTTTCCGTCGCGTCGCTTCCTAACTCGTCCTAACTGCTGCCTTTCCGTCGCGTCGCTTCCAATCTCGTCCTAACTGCTGCCTTTCCGTCGCGTCGCTTCCTATCTCGTCCTAACTGCTGCCTTTCCGTCGTGTCCCTTCCGTCCAAATTCGACAGGGGGGAGCGTTACTGCAATACACCTTGGTCCAAATAGAGTGGTGCATCTTATTGCAATAATGAGGACCAGCTCTGGCGATGGACGGACTACACGTGCGTAAAAGCAAATGCAGGCGCGGAGTGACCAAAGATAAAAATAAACAACGACAACGAGAGGTACAAGGTATTGTCACGTTTGACGCTGGAATAAACCTAGGGAAAATAAGATGCTGAAATGAGACTTAGTCGCTAGAGAAATCGGTGCGAGTATGTTTCTCCACCTACAACCTGTCTGGGTTTGCAGTCTCATATTTTTCCAGCTCTGTAATACGCTCGGTTGTGGGCTGTGCGTCCCATTCTCAGTCCGTCGCACATGCAGTTGCCTGTTTCTCGCAAACCCGGCTTGGTAGTCAGGCACCTGCCTCTACCAAACTGTTTGGTTTGCAGCCAATCACACCTGCGCCAAACCAAACGCGAGTGTTTTGCGAGTGATTGTTTGGTTACCCGGTTTCAAGCGTATTACCTTTGGTTGGAAACAAGAAATATGAGACGCGGGTTTTAAGAGTACTACACCGTATTGTAATCCGCCTTTTGACTGTTCCTCACCCATCCTCTTTCCTCCTCCGCGCAATCCCCCGCGGCTATTCTCCGCGCGCTCGCCGCAGGTTCCAGCCAGCTCATCGCGCAGTACTAGCAGTTCGTTCGCCTGGGCTTTGAGGTACGCGCGCCGGATTTAATCACACGCCGCATCAGTCAGTAGTAGTAGCTTATCCGCACGCACTCGATGCCTTCCACTCACGTACCTCCGTCCCTCTCTCACTTCCGATGCTTCTCGAATTGAAGTACACATCGCCTTACACCAGTTACTACGACGAGTGCTATTCTTCTTGAAATGAAGTCACATTCGTCCACTTTTCTCCTTGCTTTTCCGCCGCTCATCACGTCACCTCCCAGGGTTACCGCAAGATCATCAGCAACTGCCATACTAATGCGGCGTATCTCCGTAAGGAAATAGTCGATATGGGCTGCTTCGATATTTACTCTAAGGAGGTTGGCGTGCCGCTCGTCACCTTCGGCCTCAAAGATAAGACTGGCTTCACGGAGTACGAAATCGCGGATATGCTGAAGCAGTTCGGCTGGATTGTGCCAGCTTACACGATGGCGCCTGATCTCGAACACGTGACTATGCTTCGTGTGCTTGTAAGGGAGGATTTTTCCCGATCCCTCGCCGATCGATTTCTCACGGATCTGAAAATGTCGGTGAAGATTCTGGAGGATAGGGCCGCGCAGCTGCCCGTTCCGCTTGCGCCCGCTACTGCCGCTGACGCCCCTGCGGCGGCTGCGGAAGCAGCTGCTGCTGTTGCGCATCCGCCTGCTGTCGCCGCAGCAGCCCTTGCTGCGAAGGGCAAGCTCGCGCGCAATCTGGCGGATGATGACAAGTTCACGTTTTCCCCGATAGCAGGGACGCGTTTGATGCCTCCTACGCATCCCGTGGAGCACACCCATTCCCTGGATTTATCTGCTCTCCGCATGCGTACATTCCGTGTCTTCAAGAAGAATAGCATCGCTAAGACTAATGGAGTGTGCTAGATGCTCTGGTTATAACATAATATGTCGCCCGTTATAAGCTTGTGTGTGTATGTACCGCACTTTTTTAAGGCTTATCCTAATTTTGCATCACACCAACCTGAACAGCTTCAAACAATATGTTCAAACTTCAAATTATTTGCCAGAAGTCACCTCATGCTTGGATCAAGGTTGACATACAGTAAAAATCTTCTCATGCATATGCTGCATGTGCAAGCTAAGCACATTCTGTCAGCAAGCCTTGTACATAACTGACATGCATTGGGCCGCCTGGCGCACGTATGGTAATTCACGTATGGAGGAGGGGCATAGAATGTGACAACAGGATCACTCACAACCAAAGCTGTATCAATTCTCTCAAAACAAAGGCATAATCACAATACAACAAGTGTATCACAAAACTGAGTAGCTAGCGAGCACACTTATTACCTCCCCATTGAACCTCCCTGCATGCCACACAACGCTACCAACACAAGACATCCGCATCTCAGCCCCAGCTCGATCTGCGAGTTCTGTCCACCCACACCACCAAAACAGAAACAGGAACACAGCAGCCTTGCAAGAGCACAACAAGTAGAGGAGGCTCGCAGCACAAGAAGCCACGGCATGGCACTAGTATGGTACAACAAGCGAACCGCACCCAGGTTGACAGCTCCACTCAGAAGCACCCCCTGACAAACATAGACTCAGCTCCACTCAGGTTTCCTCCCCGCATCAGCCTCTCAGAAACGTCATGGACTTCTGGCCATACGTGCTGCTCTTGCCCGGCAAGCACCACGTGCCGTTCGGAGCCAGCGTGGCCCCGGCATCGCACACGCAACCCCACCCGCCCACCACCGTGCTCGTCTTGCTGCAATATCCCAGCCCGTTGCACGTGCCCTGGGGAGAGCTCGCCCCACAGAAGCCCCGGCAGACCGCCGGGCTGCTATACCCCGGCTCGTTGAACCCCGGGCAGGGGTACTTGGCAGGGAAGGTGAAGCAGTTGAACTTGGAGGAGGAGAGGAAGATCTGATCCAGGCCGTTCATCTTGGAGGTCTTGGTGATGGGGCAGAAGGGCTTGCCGGCGGCGGTGAAGGAGGGAGTGCCGTAGAAGTAGTTGGAGCGCACGTTCACCTCCCCGCCCTTGATGGCTGCATTCGTGAAGTCCCAGTTTGCTGTGCCTGATAGGCGGTTGCTCGCCAGGTTGCTGCACGGGCAGGGTGGGGAGAGGGGGGTGGTGGGGAATGGGATAGGGAAAGGGAAGGGGAGGGAAGGGGAGGGGAGGGGAGAAGGGGAGGAGGGGGTGTGCAGGTGAGACGTGGAGGTGGGTGGGTGTGGTCCTGGGGGGATTAGGTACTTGAGGATGAGGAGCGAGCATCTAGGAATGGGCATGGGCATGGGCATGGGCATGGGCATGGGCATGGGCATGGGCATGGGCATGAGACAGTGGAGAAAAAGAGGGAGGGGGAGCGTGGGAGTGAGGGTGTGAGGGAGGTAGTACGAGCGATAAAGAGTGAGCAAGGCAGGTTAGACAGTTGAGGGGGAAGGTGGGCGAGGGAGCAACAGAATATGTAGGAGCAGGAATGGGAGAGGGGGAGGGGAAGAGGAGGAGAAGGAGCGGTGGAAGAGGAGAGGGGGCGTACAAGTAGAAGAGGTTGGGAAGTTGCCCTGGAGGAAGCTGGTGATGGTGATGGTGATGGTGATGGTGATGGTGACGATAACAGGGGAGGAGGTGGAAAACAGGTGGGAGAGACGAATAAGATGGTCTGATCTGATGGGACGAGCCTTGATAAGGAATGATGGAAGGCCGGATGGGAATGGGACGGGAGGCACAATAGGGCAGCCGTAGCGCCGTCAGAGTCTTAACATGGTGCGACACAAGAAGAACGTCTATGAGCAGACAAAGAAGGACGCCTCTGATGACACAAGAACAGTCGAGGAATGGCAAGAGTGAACGGAGAGAGCAGGGCAGGGATGTTGTACGTACAGCCAGACGAGGTTGGTGAGCTTGCTGATGGTGGGTGGGATGACTCCTGTGAGGTAGTTGTTGTCCAATAGACTGTGAGTTAGGGCAGCGCGGCACGCAGGGCGAGAGGGCGGAACGGCGAGAGACAGTGAGTTAGGGAGGGAAAGGGAGGGGGACACGGCTGGTAGTCATTGGGTGGGATGATGAGATGGGGAAAGGTGGGGAAGGGTTGAGAGGGAGGAGTCGGGGGAGAGAGTGCAGTGGACAGTCAGGATGAAGCGGAGGGGGAACGGGGGATGTGTAGGGGGAGGGGGAAGGGGGGATGGGGGAGAGAGGAGAGGGCAGGGAGAGTGGTGGAAACAGGGCAGTGGTACCGATACGGGATTGTAGTTGTGTGTGGGATGGGATGCGACTCACATTCTCTCACACTTGACCATGTCCCCGATGGTGCTTGGGATGGGACCCGAGATGTTGTTAAACTCCATGATGCTGTTGGCCGGGGGGCACACACACACATGCACATACAGACACACACACACACACACAGGCAGGCACACACAAGGAAGCAAACACGAGGTCTGAGCGGCCACACACATGCCTAGGCAGCCTGTCTGCCCTGGTCCCACAAAACAGCACCTTAGCACCCACAGTCAACCTCCCCACCCCCCCCTGCTCTTCCCTCTCTACTTCTCTCCTCTCTTTCCCATCCCTCCCCCTCTTCACCCTCCGCCTCTTCCACCCTCTCACTCCCTCTCCACCCCTTTCGCTCCCTCTCTCTCCCCCCAACCCCTCCCCTGCCCGGTGTGCAACGCACAAGTGCTTGAGGTTCTTGAGGTTGCCGATGGTGGAGGGCAGGGGGCCCTTGATCCAGTTGCCTGACAGGAACCTGCCGTGTGTAGGGGGGCAGAGACACGCGGGAGGAGGTGGGGAGGAGGGAGGGAGGATGAAGGGAGGAGGGAGGGAGGAGGGAGGAGGGAGCGAGAAGGGAGGATGGAGGAGCAGGGATGGAAACATTGGTAAGGGAGGACAGCAGGACATTGGGATGGCACGGCATGGCACGGCATGGCATGGCATGGCATGGCATGGCATGGCATGGCATGGCATGGCATGGCATGGCATGGAATATGGACAGAGAGCGCGGGGAGGCTCACAGGGTGTCAAGGCTGGTCATGCTGCCCACAGTGCTGGGGATGGGCCCATCAATGAAGTTGCCGTTGATGAAACTGCCAGAAAGGAGGGCGTGCAGGGGGGGTCCATGGAGAGTGAAGGCAGAGGGTGGGTGGAAGAGAGAGTTGAGCTGTGAAGGAAGGAATGGTGTGGTGTTGCAGAGGGGGTGGTGGGATGCGAACTGGGCGTGAACTGCAGAGGTGCTGTTTCAGCAGAGTGAAGGAGGGGGGGGTGATTCTTCTTTTGCTGTATCCAGTGCTCTTGTGTCGTGTCTTACGAGTGGGGCTTGCTTGTAAAATACTGCTATGATGTGGCAGTGCGGAGGGGCAGTGCGGAGGGGCAGTGCGGAGGGGCAGTGCGGAGGGGCAGTGCGGAGGGGCAGTGCGGAGGGGCAGTGCGGAGGGGCAGTGCGGAGGGGCAGTGCGGAGGGGCAGTGCGGAGGGGCAGTGCGGAGGAGCAGTGCGGAGGAGCAGGGGAAGCAGGGGCGCTCACAAGTTGACGGCCTTGGTGAAGTTGCCAATGGACGCTGGGATGACCCCTGTCATGCGGTTGTTGTCCATGTAGCTGCACGTACAAGGAAGCAGGGGGGGGGCATGTGGGCAGGGGACGAGGGCACGTGACATGCGAGGTTAGGGGGCAGTGCGGGGAGGGCAAGGAAGAGAAGAGAGAAGTGCGGATGGAGAGCGAGAATGGACGACGGTGGAGACGCAGCAGGAGGTATGAAGAGAGAAGCAGGCAGGCAGGCAGGCAGGCAGGCAGGCAGGCAGGCAGGCAGGCAGGCAGGCAGGCAGGCAGGCAGGCAGGCAGGCAGGCAGGCAGGCAGGCAGGCAGGCAGGCAGGCAGGCAGGCAAGTGAAGAGCGACCCTGAGGTTGCTTGCTTGTGACAAGTCGTTGAGAGTATGAAGTGCAAGGCCGTGCAAGGCCAAGGGCTCACAAGTTGACTATGTCCTTAAGGTTGCCGATGCACGATGGGATGGGACCCGTGATCTGGTTGTTGCCAAACAGACTGCAGGGGGTGGGGGAGGAGCGGAGAGCGGAGAGGCGGGCAGGGGGATAGAGAGAGGTGAGGAGCAGTTGGAACAAGGGAGAGGGGTTTTCTGGTGGGATTTCCAAAAGAAAGATCGGGGGAAAGGCACAGGCGCGGATCTGCTGGGTGCCATGCAGTGCTGCACGGGGTGCTGTGCGGTGGGAAGTGGTGTAGCAGGTGGGAAGTGGTGGTGCATGCATGTACGGGCTAGCAGTGGTGGTGCTTACTCACTCCACCCCACTCCCCGGACTCGCCCACCCTGCTCACTCGCCCACGCCCACGCCACAGTGGTCATCTGGCAGAGCTCCGTGGGCAGCGGGCCTTGAATCTGATTGTCCGCAATGTAGCTGTGACAGCCGCGCGAGCACGGGTTGAGATGGTGGCGTGGCAGTGAGGGGAGGAGCGGAAGAAGGTTAGAGACCGAGGAGCGTGTGAGGTAAGGAGTGTGTGAGGTAAGGAGCGTGTGAGGGAAGGCGCGTGTGAGGGAAGGAGCGTGTGAGGGAAGGAGTGTGTGAGGGAAGGTTGAAGAAAAGGAAGGAGATGGGTGAAAGATCACAAGGCTGAAGCAGGCGTGGCGCGTATGAGGCGAGATGGGGCATGGCGCATGGGTCGCTCTGCATGCACGCATGCATGGCAACATGATGGTGCCATGTGTGTATGGTGGTGGCGGCATCCCACGTAACGTGACATGGCTTGGCATGGCTTGGCAAGGCGTGGCACGGCAAGGCATGGTGGGCATGGGACGGGACGGCACAGCGTGCTATCTATCGCAGGGCACGGCGTGGCACGGAGGGCGATGGGCAGGAGCTCACAAGTTACCGAGGCCTGTCATGCCCTTCCATGTGGCGGGAATGACGTCCCTGATCTGGTTACCCTGTAACTGCCTGCAGGGTGGACGCGGGGAAGAGAGAGGCGGAGCGATGGGGATGGGGATGGAGGGGGAGGGGGATGGGAGAGGGCGCAGAGTGAGATTTGGCAGCAGTGCATTCATGATAGGGAAGGAGTGGAAAAGAGCAGGGATGTTTCTGATGGCGGGTGGGTGCTGGGTTGGAGCGAGGTGACTTGACTTGAGAGGGACTCTTGGTGCGTAGCTGGTGAATGAAAGACAAAGCGAGGAAGTGAATGAAACAAGGACACAGGCAAGGAAGGAGGGGCGGGAGAGAGAGAGAGAGAGAGAGAGAGAGAGAGAGAGAGAGAGAGAGAGAGAGAGAGAGAGAGAGAGAGAGAGAGCAAGAGGGGGAGAGGGGGAGAGGGAGGACGGACATTTCCCAGAGAGAGGAGAGCTTGCCCATGCTGCGAGGCAGAGGGCCCGTGATCTGATTGCCGCGCAGCACACTGGTGTGGGTGGGAGGGCGGGAGGGAGGGAGGGAGGGAGGGAGGGAGAATTTAGGAACGAGGAGAGAGAGGATGTATGGCAGTAAAGGGGTTGGACGGAAAGGAAACCAGCGGTAGCAAGGAAACAGCCCGCGATGTGGAACAACGGGAACCGCGCACAAGGCAGCAGAGGAAAGGAGAACTCGGGAAAGAAGGGCAGACAGGGGACTGCGGAGGGAGGGCGCGCGGGAAGAGAGCGCGCGGAGAGAGAGCGGGCAGGGAGAGGGCGCGCGGAGAGAGGGCGGGCGGAAATAGGGCGCGCGGAGAGAGGGCGGGCGGAAAGGGAGCGCGCGGGGAGGGTGCGGGCCGCGTACATCTGCTGTAGCTGGGAGAGTTGGCCGAAGGACTCGGGGATGGGACCCGTGATCTCGTTGTCGTTGGCGAAGCTGGTGGCGGGAAGAGAAAGGGGGAGGGGAGGGGCAGGGGGAGGGGGAGGTAGAGGGCGAGGGACGAAGGGCAAGAGACGCATTAGATAAAAACCACTGCCCTGCCCTGTCCTTACTACTAAATCACTCGTGGGCATGTACGTGCGTGTGCATGGGCGTGCACGGCAGCAGGCGAGGGAGCGAGAGACGAAGGTGCGGAAGGAGGGCGGCACGTACAACTGGAAGAGCGTGCTGATGTTGCCCAGCACGCTCGGCAGCGGCCCCTCTATTCCCTTCTTCGCCACGTCGATGCGCCTGCCGCGCGTCGCACGCACACGGGGGAGGGGGAGAGGGAGGGGAAGAGGAGGTTGGGGGTGGGGGAGAGGGGGAAGAGGGGGGGATGATGAGAATGAGGGCGAGAAATGGAGCCCCAGGTGGGAGCCATATCTTTACGTGAGAATGAGGGGGAGCCGGATCAGTGACGCGGAGAGGACGAAGGGCTTGGATCGGGGAGGGGATTGTAGCGCGGATGGATGGACGGAGAGGGGAGGCGAGGGGAGGGGAGTGGATGGGAGGGTTGACAAGGGATGGCGAGGGGCAGGAAGCGGAAGGGAGAAGGGCGAGGGTGGGACGCGGGGCGATAGGAGAGCAATGTGTACGCGTAAGGCTGGAAGGGCGGAGTAGCGAAAGCGCGAAAGCGGACAGATTTCGGGACGAAAGCTCGCAACCGCCATCGCAGAACCCAACCCCACTGCCCACCCCTCGCAACAAGCCTCCCGGATCACTCTCCCACCCCCCGAGACGCAGCATCCCCCCGGCACGCGCAATTCCCTCCCTCACGCGCCCGCAACCCCGCTTGCACTCACCGGACCTCCCCCGTGCGCTTGTTGCAGGTGACGAAGGCCCACTTGGAGCACGGCTTGCGCGCGTCCCACGACGAGAGGTCCACGAACCGCGCCCACTGCCGCCGCACCTCCATCATTAGCGGCACTGCGCGCGGGTTTGCGAGGGGAGGGGGAGATGGGGAGGAGGAAGGGGGAAAAGGGAGAGGGGTGGCGGGGAGGGGGAGGGGGGGTGGGAAGGGGCAAAGGGGGAATGGGGGAAAGTAAAGAAGGGGGGAGAAGGGAAATAATGAAGAAGGAAGGTGTAAAGCGACGGCGTGGAGTGAGGGAGTAGGGGCAGATGGGATTGGCGCTTTGGCTCATATTGGCACGTGACTGGCACGCTTTTACTCGTGCCCCCTCCTTCACGGTCGCGCTTTCACGAAACCAGAATCCCTCAGACGGGGAAGAGACATTGGTCGCACATCGTCGCCGGTATGCTGCAAGACGGTCGCAATGATATGGCTCAACGGCGGGGAATTCGACAATCTGATGCGAGCACGGCGACACGGCGCGCGCATACCGTGCTGGCTCGCCACGAGCACGTCTTGTGCCGCCGCCACTCGCGGCCCCTCGAGCTGACTTTTGAGTGGCCTAAAAAATGCGAGCAGGGCGACATGGCGCGTAAGGGCGACATACCGTGCTGGCTTGCCACGAGCACGTCCTGTGCCGCCGCCACTCGCGGCCCCTCGCCTGCCCCCGCCAGCAGTAACAGTAGCAGTAGCGCCGCGGAGACGACTATCGGGCCGAGCGAGCGGACGCGACGCGCGGGGTTTGCGGAAAGACGCGCCATTTCGGCAGCCGCAAACGGGTTGGTGCTGGGCTGCGTGAACAAGGGTGACGAGCAGTGGGGAATGGTTAGAACGGTACGGTAGAGAATCTGAGTCGACTCGGAGTAGTGAGGGGTTGGCAGGAGTGCGAATGGGTCGGTTTGAACTCGGCGGTGCACAGAGCGTTGCGGAGGGAGTAAGTGAGAGTGTTTGGAATTTGAAAAGGGAGAATCGCGGCGACGCGCTTCAAGGGAGGATGCGATTCACAATGCCGTGAGCTCGCAATGCCGTCGGGTGCTTTGATGAATGGCGACCGCTGAGAAAATAGGGAATGTGGATTCGAAAAGTTATGGACCGTCTGGGGCAGCAGCGATGTGACAGCCAGGGATTCACTTACTGAGGAGCAGTTAGAACGACGCGATGCCGCGATACCGAAATGGCAAGGTGCGGTTGTAAGGGACTAGAGGTTGTGGTGTTAGTAATGAGCAGGACGCTGGTGGTGTTGCACGGGCAGACTGACTAGAATGTGCGTGCTGTGAGACTCAAGTCGAATAAACTACCCTGGTAGGCGATGGTATTTGGGTGGACGATGCGTTTATGGCCGTCTGTTTCTTGCCGTCCCCTAGAACTTGTGAAGTTCATAGAATTGCTAAAGCGAACGACGGCAGGCTTTCGAGGTGAAGGACGACAGGGTTTCTTGAGTCGAGACTCGAGACTCGAGACGAGACGAGACGTGAATGTGGTAGGCAAAGGAATGCGGAAGGGAAAACAAATCGGATGCGACGCGAGTCAATGGGATGGTGGTGCTGGCGGCTGCGCAACAGCCACAAGAATTATGGACCAGTACAAGCGTGCATGGGATGGGATGGGATGGGATGCACCATGACAGGAATGCCTGAAACTTGTACCAAGCTATGCACGACAGCTTCGTGTGGTGTGAACCGGTTTGGCGACTTTTTCACAAGAGGCAACGCGGTTTCAAACACGGTTTTAGTTCTGATGCGGGGTTGTGTCGACAACGTGACGTGAGGCTTCTGGTTGGATCTGACCAGCAGAAATGCCATCAGATCCAACTACCAACCTTCTACACCCATCTCTGTAGTCCCCTCCGGGCAGAAATGCGGAGAGACAAAGTTTTCTTCTGCCCGTCTTCTCCCACTGCCTGAAGACACCCAATCGCAAGCAAAATTCATTATGATACGGGTTGTCCTGTTCTGGAGAAGGTCCAATCCAACCATCGAAACCAACAAAAACCTGCGCAGGATAGCATGTTCTCAGGTCAATCACTGCACGGAGCGCAGGTATGGGCGCAGTACACCTGTAGGCAGGCGAGCTGGCTGGCAGTGGCGTCAGGTCGGCTCAGGTGAAGCCAAGTAAAAGGTGTGTCACGATAGAGCTTCACGGTGGAATTTGTCCAAATGCAGCACGTGCTTACCAATACACTGCATATGAATGCATTAGAGAAGCTTATTATGAAACCTATTTCCTTTAAAATGGTGACATTGTTTATACTTTAAATAAAATAGAAAACTAAATGCAAAGCGCCACGATTATTCCCCAATCAAATCGGCATTACGGCATATTGAAGTATCGATATAAAACCAAATAAGATTGACGAAACCAGGCTTGTTCGATATCTTGATTGCGCTCTGGTTATCGCAGTGGAGGCTGAAGGTTGTGTCAAATGATATATATGCTATATATGTTTAGGCTGTAGTGGGGTAGCTAACATGGGGTATAGCCCCATTAGGGTTTCATATTTGTACCCAACTCTCTTCTAGTCCATTCATTCCTGCCTAGCCTTCTGACATGGTATTCAGAGCAGTAGGTCCGTACGACCGTTTTTTTTTCGGGCCCACCTACCGCTACCCCATGACTGTGACTGTGACTGTGCCTAGGACGTGCTGCGCTGCGCGCACTGTCTGCCTGCTGTCTGCTGTCTGAGCTGTCTGCTGCTGCTTCGCGCGCGCAGACTTAATTCCTGCGCGCTGCCCCCTTTTGCCCCGCGCGTCGCCCTCCCTGCTCGCGTCGCGCCTCGGCAGCCGCGTCGCGCCCCGCGCACCGCCCGCGCAGCCCGCGTCGAGCCCGCGCAGCGCGCGCGCGGCCCGCAGCTGCCCCGCGCACCACTCGCGCAGCCCGCGCCGAGCCCGCGCAGCGCGCGCGCGGCCCGCAACTGCCCCGCGCACCGTCCGCGCAGCCCGCGCCGCACTCTGACAGCCCGCGCGCGGCCCTCCGCAGCCACGCGCGCCGCCCTACCTGCTCGAGCCGCGCCTCTGCAGCCTGCGCGCGGCCTGCTGCTGCCCCGCGCGCTGCCTGAGCTGCCTGCGCCTGCTTTGCGCGCCGCCCTTGCTGCTCGCGCCCTTTGCCTGCTGCATGCTGCCTACTGCCTTTGCCTACTGCCTTTGCCTGCACTGCGATTATGGCGACACATAATGTTCTCGCGTTTGAGCCTGACGGTCGCCCGATAGAGTTCGCCACGTGGCTCGACGATCTCCAACTGTTTCTTCTGACTGATGCCAAAGACGGCGTTTCACTGTTCGATTACGTGTCTGGCACTGCCGTTGCTCCTGCTGACGATGCTACCGCTCTCGAACACTCACAGTGGCAGACTCGCGATGCTGCTGCACGCCTAGCTATTCGAAATCATCTGCCGATCACTGAGCGCGCGCATTTCAGCCAGCAAAAAACTGCTAAGGCACTGTATGACGTTGTAGTTGCGCGCTACACCTCCCCAGCCACTGCAGCCCTAGGTCGGCTCATGCTACCCTACCTGTTCGCAGACCTGTCCTCGTTTACCACTGCTGAGGACCTCATTTCTCACCTTCGCGCTAGTGACACTCGCTTTCGTGCCGCCCTTCCAGCCGAGTTCTGCGCCGAGAACCCCCCCCCCCCCCCCCCCCCCGATGTACTTCACTCTCTATTTCCTCGTCACCCGCCTCCCTGACACTCTTAGCTCCGTCAGGGACCACTTCCTAGCCCTAGACCCTACCACTCTCACTGTCGCTGACTTCGAGAAGCACCTCCTAGTAGCAGAGAAGAACATCCTCGCTGTAGGTGCTGCTCGTGGTACTCCTCGCACTCCCCTCTTTGAGGGGTGCTCCCCCTCCCCTCTTACCCCCTCGTACGCCTCCGCAGCTGCTGCTGTCGACCTCCTTGGTGCTGAGAAGGTCGCAGCTGCTTCCGTTCCTAGCGGGAAGCGCAGCGGCTCCAGCGGAGGCAGGGGTGGCAGGGGTGGCGGACGTGGCGGTGGAGGGGGCGGTGGTGGAGGCGGCGGGGGAGGTGGAGGTGGTGGGGGTGGTCGTGGGGGTGGAGGTGGTGGTGGGGGCGGTGGTGGTGCCGGGAGCAGTGGCGGTGGCGGCGGCGGTGGTGGCGGAGGGGGGAGTGGTGGTGGCGGCGGTGGTGGGGGCTTGGGTGAGACCAGTGGTGGCCAGGGGCAGCAGCAGCAGCAGCAGCACCAGCAGCAGCCGCAGCAGCGTCAGCGCCAGACCCCCACTTCCCAGCAGCTTCATGACTGGTATGCCGGGCGTGGGGCGTCTGGGGATCCTGGTCGCTGCCCCTATATCATTCGCGCAGGTCCCCGCGCTGGTCGCCAGTGCACCGGCTTTCACACTGAGTACCGCTGCTTCGCTCGGCTTAGCGACGCCTGGCGCGTCAAGTTTCCTGATGCTACTGAGTTCCCCAACTGGGCAGACCTGCTTAGGCGTGATGTACCTATCTTTGATCTTGACTATGATGCTATTCTTGCTGCCATGTATGCATTGACTGTTAGTGCTGAGGGTGACTGCTACTTGTGTGTGCCGCCTGGCCCCGGTATAACCCCAGGTATAGCGCCTGCAGCTCTAGGTGCTCGTGAGTCTGCTCTCCCTGGTACTGCGTCCGCACACGCCTTGCACACCTTTACACTTGACTCTGGTGCTTCCCGCTGTTTCTTTCGCGACAGCACCACAGTCACTCCCCTCCCTGCACCTGTCCCTGTCTCCCTGGCTGACCCCTCTGGGGGCCCAGTGCTTGCACGGTCTACCACTGTGCTTCCGTGTCCGGCGGTCCCGTCTGGTGAGCTGTCTGGTCTCCACCTCCCCTCGTTCTCTACGAACTTGGTGCGCAACGCCGTCCTTCAGGATCATTGGGTTGACACCTTTACTCCTGGAGGACAGCGTGTGGCGATCTGCACGTGCTCCCGGACCGGCCGTCACCTGGCCACGTTCACACGTGCGCCTGGGTCCAGTCTGTACACCCTCACCACCACATCACGCTACACCCCTTTGTCTCCTCAGCTGTACGCGTCTGCTCAGGTAGCAACACAGTGTGAGTGCCGTCGCCTGTCGCACCAGACTCTCCTTTGGCACCACCGCCTTGGTCACCCCTCCTTGCCTCGCCTGCGTGGCATGCACTCTCGCTCCCTGGTCTCTGGTCTCCCCAGGTCTCTGCCTGACCTCCCTCCCTCGCCTGCGCTGCCCTGCATTCCTTGCGTCGAGGGGCGGCAGCGCGCCGCTCCTCACTCCTCCTCGTTCCCTCCCACAGAGGCTCCACTGCAGACTCTCCACCTGGACGTGTGGGGCCCAGCCCGCGTCCAGGGGCACAGCCACGAGCGGTACTTCCTGCTGGTTGTCGACGACTACACGCGTTACACCACGGTCTTCCCCTTGCAGCGCAAGGGGGAGGTCCCTGATGTTTTGATCCCCTGGATCCGCGCTGTTCGTCTCCAGCTCCGCGAGCGGTTCCAGTCGGACTTTCCTGTCCTGCGTCTGCACTCTGACAGAGGTGGTGAGTTCTCCTCCGACCTCTTGCGAGCCTACTGTGAGGAGCACGACATCCGCCAGACGTTCACGCTTCCGGCCTCTCCGCAGCAGAATGGGATTGCTGAGCGCCGCATTGGCTTAGTCATGGAGGTCGCTCGTACCTCCATGATCCATGCAGCTGCCCCCCATTTTCTGTGGCCGTTTGCGGTCCGCTACGCCGCGCATCAGCTCAACCTCTGGCCCCGTGTCTCCTTGCCGGAGACCTCGCCCACACTGCGCTGGAC